CCTTCGAGTGTCTGTTCCTGATTGTACTCCTTTGGGATTTTTCCCCTGAGCCAAGGAACGCAGAGGGATTGAGTAGAAATTCCAAGGGTCCACATAGTACAACCACATTTAGATCTTTCATCTTTCGGTCTGCATCAAACCGAGCGAGAGCACTAAGCACACAATTCTGGCGGTTAGCGTTGGGATTTCTATAGCAGCGAAGAGTCGGGAGAAAAGTGAGTAGGCATTGAGCGAGCATTTGTTGCAAAGAGAAGCACGGGAGCAAGTCTGGATCTCCCTTTGGATCTTTTTTTCTCATCTCTTACTCACTCCTTCACTGCTCTCTAGCTTCCAGGTCTTGTGTCTGAGACCGAGTTTCCTTGCTCCCGTGCTTCTCTTTGCAACCAATGCTCGCTCAATGCCTACTCACTTCTCTCCCGACTCTTCACTGCTATAGAAATCCCAATGCTAAACGCCAGAATTGTGTGCTTAGTGCTCTCGCTCGGTTTGATGTAGACCTAAAGATGAAAGGTCTAAAGGTGGTTGTACTATGTGGACCTTGGGAATTTCTACTCAATCCCTCTGTGTTCCTTGGCTTACAGCCTTGATAATCACTTCAACTCACTATCAGCTAGAACGGGTTTAGACCAACTAATCTCATTGTCTTATGTTCGGTAACGATTATGATATTCCTTAGTGAACTAGACGGTGATTTTACTTTCTTTGGTTTCGTTGAATGCGTTACTGCTCAAATTCAAATGCTCGAGCAGCTAAGAAGTATCAAGTATCAGCTTACATTGGGAGTGATGATTATCCTTCACAGATTATCAAATATATTTATTCATCCAAGAGCGTTATCAGATGACGTCACTCTTAGATACCCGTGCACATTCTTTATTGGGCCTCACTTGGACTTTGGATTCATACCTTCTATTCAGTAGTCTTGAATAAATTGGTCTAGGACGCCAGATAGCTCGAAAAGGTATGCAACCATTGTTAGGAGAGCGTGGATTGGTCTGGCTCCATCCCTACAGACATAGTGGAGCAGGAAGCATGAAAGTTGATTATGTAATGGGGCGTGTATGCACGTTGATGACATCTACAAACAAATGATGTCTGAGAGCATCAACGCTATGATTGTCAGATGACTAGATCTCCTCTCTTTATCCGTTTTCGACTGTAAGTCTATGTTTATGCTGAAAAATGTTTTTCTTGCCAGAGATTTTAAGGTCGCCATGCACTGCTTCTATAATTGAGGCTGAATGTACGGAGATTACTATATGTCCACCACTTCAGCAAAGATGAAACTCGGAGTCGCTCGACGGCCGCAACTATTCCTAGAGGAAGTCTAGTAAGGAAGCTGACCGTCAACGTTTTCCTGGGGGTCGATGAGGGATTGAAGAACACCGCATGTAATTGAGGGACACCGCGTCTCTTACGCAAGTTATCAACTTGCGTAAGAGATCAGTGTAAACTATGGAAATTGGTTTTTGTAAAAGGAAGTGTGGGACGGGGTGTGCCTTAAATCACCAGTTACTTTATTTCGTACTGTTTCTTATCCGTATTCCAAAAAGTTACAAGTCGGGTTAGATTGTGGTTGAAACTTCGTCTTCGTCGATCCACCTTGTAAATCGGCATTACCACAACTGGAATGTCGTCTCAGTGTTGTCAAATTTGTCATCGTTTTCAAATAGTTCAAAGGTTCAGTTTGTGCATTACAAGACTTGGGCGGTAGTCCGCATATATATGTACACTGTAATTTCAGGAGATTATCTTTAGTCAAGAGTGTTCGGCTTCCTGAGGTGAGCATCAACGCAGTTACTTAGAAGCTACATGCGGTGTCCCTCAATTACAAGGTAGTAGTTCATTTATTACTATTTTGTAAAATGTTAAATCATAAATGTTACAAAATAGTTTACCGAGTTGAAAATATTGTAAAACCGTATTCAGACCAGACTTTTGCTCGCTTGCCTACATAGGCACGTAGCTTGCATGGTACAATTAAATCAGAAGAAGATGATATTTTTATAGCCATGGTGTAAGGCATGGTTTTCGTTTCTGATTGACTTTCTTCCATATCGAAGCATTATCAATCCCTTTGCAACAAGTCGTTGGCATTCTAGGACCTAAAATCACCTCCTTGTCTATACAGCAATGGGGTATAAAGCCAGTGAAAACTCCGTTCTCACCGGTGACGACCAAATCCATGGTACGGATGACGCCCCAATCCTTCTATCACTAGGGTTCGGAAGTAAACATGTATAATACATTTCATTATACAAGTTATACATGTATAGTATACGTATATTATACATTGTCCAAAAAAACTTTATTCCTGTTCATTTTCTTCTCCAAAAGCATCTACATCATGGTTACTCTCTTCTCCAGTCATGACTGCCACCATATTCCCACTTATGATTTTTACAACTTATAAAACATGACAATGAACCATTTCTATGTATGTTTCCTTATGATTTAGTCATTTAATCTCTCTAGATCTTCTTACTGCCTACATAATTCTACTCTCTCCGTTCTTGAGAGTCATCATGACTTAGTCATGCTCTAGGCATCTGGCTGTCTGGTTAGGAGAGCCAACCTTTCCTGTTCGGGAGTATACATGTATAATACATTTCATTATATAAATTATACATGTATAAAGTGTATAATTTATTATACATGTATAGGTATAGGACAAACCCTATCTATCACCCACTACTTCGTAAAACTTACAAATTGCCGACAGTCTTACAATATATCAATCCATGACTCAACTGACCTAAATAATCAAACTTAAAGAAAAAATTTTAAAAATTCCGTGAAGTTTCTGTTTTAATTATGTTTTGCATTTAAGTAAAATGCATTCAAAATTTTAGTTTGAAGAATAAAACGAAAAGCATCAAAAGATCTCACACTTCTAATGTAATTGATAGTCAAGTAAAGAGCTTCAACCTACTCTAGAGATAAATAATAAATTCATAAGAAAATTACATATGGAATTTGGTTTCTTACATCCCATTTTTCTTGTATGAATATTTTTTGCACCCTCTCCACACAGTCATAACTTATTTTCTTACCATCACAACCTCACACTTGGGTCCCATATAAAACTACCAGCAACACTAAGCTCTTAGACTAAATTTTACCAAGACTCAAATACACTAGGTGTGTTTTTCTATACCGACTTAGCAATGAATCTAGAGCTTGTGACTAAATTGTACTCTCTTTTTCACGCAAAATGTCAAACTACAATCATTAGTGAAATCACTGTCTAGATATTTATAACTCTTCTCTTGTGTTATGTATCTATTCAAATCGTGGTGTTGTTAATTAAAACGTGAAATGAAATGTTCAATAATTTACTTTTGACAAATGTATTTACATTTATACCTTTCGAGAATTGAATCGTGTATGAACTTGCATAATTTTCTTGTAATGCATCTTGGCCGTATTGTCTTTTGCACACTTAACTGCAATCTGCAGTTACATTATGAAAAAAAAAACTTCACAACCAAGATTGTGAGCCGAATATCTCTTGAAAAGCAACAAAATTTTAATAAAACTTTAAGTCAACTTGAACAAATGTGTTTCTAATGTATATGTTGATTCTTAACTTCTTTGATTTCATTTCAGTAACCATCAACACTAAGCTTGTATTGAAAATCTCATTAGATGATTGAAAAACCTAATTTGCTACATCTTAAATCAAATTGCTCGATTATCAGATGTATATCACAATGAATTTCAAACTACAAAGCATTATTTTATCTTTCATTATGTTACATACCTTGCCATTGCATCATCTTCTCACTGAATTGAATTCAAATAACATTCTTCTTCTCCACTAACAAGATATTATATAGATGAAACATCTGGTTGATACTCGTAATTTCAATATTTTATATTTTATATATTGAATTATGTGTTTTTTCTTTTTGTAAGGGAATTGGTTGCAAAAAGTATCTGTTTTTTATATTTTTGATACAACAAGTATTATAGAAGAATTTAAAGAATTGGAAATAAATATCTAAGTATTAAATATGGAAATTTGTTGACAATATTAAAAATAAACCCTAAAAAAATGATTAATCATTCGAACGTAGTTAAAAAAAAAAAAAATTTCCATTTCATGAGGTTTGAAAAGGATGGATTTAAAGAATTTCAGATTCCCCCCAACAAAACGGTCAGTTCAGTGTGAATTGCAACGCCTAAGGACCACAGCTTCTTACTTTGCTACAAGGACACGCGTCAGATAATCTGCCTCCTGCGCCATTCTCGAATCTTTTTGCTTTACAACGAGCGAGCAGCTTCCCATGCAGCGAGCTACGGAGGCAACTGACATCGCAGAAACTGAATCGGATTCAATTTGCGATCGGCCATTAGCAAATTCTAGATTTCGGATTATGGCTGGGAACGGTAGGAGCACAAAACCAACGGTCCAGGGCCGATCAACTTCAAATCATTTGCTCCAAAAACTGGCGACAACAACATGTTGCTGCCGTTTGGGGTTAGGAGAAACTGAAGCGGTTTGTACTTTCTGATCAAAAAGTTCAAGCCTTCCCCTCCCGAACCTAATTCGTGGACAGTTCTCTAACGGAATCTGAATGGAAGATCACAAGCTTGGAGAAGCAAGTAAAGGAAACTTCCCGGCGACGATTTTCGATTGAGTAACGTTCAATTTAGCGAAAACTCATTCCTATCCGGACTTGGACGAGATCAGCAGAGAACTGAATGAGCAACAAAATCTTCTTACGATTACGACTTTGAGGGAAACTGAACTCGAAGTCTCTGTGAGTGTTGAGAAGGGAAAACGTGATCGAAATATCGTCTTTAGAACCCGAGAGACCCTGAACTGGCGAGTGTTTGACTTTTGATCAGGACAACTCGTTCAAGAAAACCGTCAAGGGCTGTTCTCCGATACAGATGCACGTTAATTCTTGTTGCTCTTCTTGTGAACAGAGTCACTTATAGGAATCTTCTCAAGTCGGTCTCTCCTGATGGTGAGAAATGCTTGAGTTAAGCTTGTGAACGAAAAGAATCATCGATTGTAACTGCAAGCCCTAAAATGCTTCGGAACAAAGGTCTGTAGAATGAAAGTAGGAAACAAAATGCCTTTTGATCTAGAAAAGTTATATGTACGCACCAACCGGTGGAACCATCTACCACTCAAGCACTTGTTTCTTTTGGCAAAATTGTTCAGTGATACCTCTTCTCTCCCTAAAATGCTTCGGAACAAAGGTCTGTAGAATGAAAGTAGGAAACAAAATGCCTTTTGATCTAGAAAAGTTATATGTACGCACCAACCGGTGGAACCATCTACCACTCAAGCACTTGTTTCTTTTGGCAAAATTGTTCAGTGATACCTCTTCTCTTGACTAGGTGAATCTTATGGCAAGTATAAGTTGCTCAATGAAATCTCTCATCTTCGTTCTGTTGTTATCTATGTAACTATCCAAGTGCTTTTCCGACCTGTAGTATATTTTCCGCGTCCGATCATATCCTCAAACCTCTCTCTTATCAAGTCTCCCTGTCAAATTGGATGCCCACATCTCAGCCTATCAGTCATGGAATCATCTCAAGCAATTATAGATCACAGACTCATTCCCGCTGCACAAATCCAGCTCGAGCTCTACTCGCTACGTAATCACTTACATGCTCCCATGAGCGTGGGTCCCATCCTCGAGCGTAGTCTGGTGCGCTTCCATCGCCCCCACTAGCGCACCTTCTAATACTACACTACTCTGGACTACGAGCGCACCCTCGTCGCAGGTCCACTGGTTCTCGCAAGCTGCGATAACCCGCGACTCTACGATGAACCTCCGAAATCCGAAATAATTGGCACCAGACAGACTGACGGCTTCGCCAATGAATGCAAGTTACAAGCGTTAACACACACACAAGGACTGAGCTGGACTGAGCTACTGACCTCGGCTAGGCCAGACTGAACTGGACGAGACGTTTTCTTAGAGATTGATTACATGACTTGGGAGTTAAGACAGTGAGCACACCTTGGGATAGTTGCTGAAATTGGTTTTGAGAATGTGCTCGACGTTGCGAGGGTCCACTGTGAATGTGCTTGTCAATTAGATGTTCTTCTCTACAACCCTGATCCGAAGATGAGCTGGGTCGCCGAATCCTTCATCGCTTTTATAAACGAACCTCGGCAAAAAGCTGCAAGTAAGCACGGACGGTTTTAAGAAAACTAAGAAACCTATGAGTGACATCCGTCTGTTAGAATGGCAGACAGAAACATCATGAACTCGTCAGCAGTCAATACACTGTCATGATGAGCATTTTGCTACTGGAGTAGGCATTCCGGTCTCCAAGATTGAATGAGTTGTGTTTTACCTTTTCGTGAAAGATCATCGAAGTATCCTTCCGAGGTGTTTACGGCAGAAATTGGAAAGTTCCATCTGCATCCGCCGATGAAGTTCCCACTTCAGCACAATTTTATAAGCGACGTACATCGTGACAATCAGTGACACGTAGTACTGCAACGTGAGGTCTGGTTCCCAGTCGAGACTCGAGACGGCAACTTCTTCCTTACATTCTGAACAAGCTTGCATCATACGCCGGTGATTTGTGACGTCCATCGAGGATGTAGTACCTTGCTCAAAACTGTTATGACTCTGCTGGAAGTGTAACACGACTAGGAGAATCCTGACTGTGTGCAAGTTGATGCACTGGGCTTGCAGCACTGCAAGTTGATCTCCTCGACTTGTAGCACAGCTTCCCTCACAGCTCGGGAGGTATCTGGATGGCAAATTCCATCCTGAAGTTTTGTGTCAATCGAGTCGTTGAACCAGAGTCGGTGTCATCGCTGCCGGATTATCTGCCATCGTCGGTTATATGTTTGGTAACGCTTATGAAGTTCGTTAGTGAAATAAACGGTGATTTTACTATCTGGGTTCCGTTGAATGCCTTGGTGCTTATTCCTTGAGAAGCTCCTCATTTGTACAAGAGCATCACGGGTCTATCTGAATCCAAGAGCGAAAGCTTGGAGAAGCAAGCCAAGGGTACTTCCTGGCGAGGATTTTCAATTGAACAACGTTAGCGGAAACTCATTCATTTCAGGACTTGGACAAGATCGGTAGAGAACTGAGTCAGCAACAAAATCTGATTACGACTACGACTGTGAGGACAACCGAATTCGAAGTCTATGTGTGTGTTGAGAAGGGATCAAAACAACGTGATCAAATGTACCTTCTTTAGAACCAGAGAGACGCTGAACTCGACAAGTTAAAGATAAGATGGAATTTTGCACGGCGTTATTAAAATGTGCACTGCTGGCAAAGTAGTAATTTTTTCGATGTGAACAGGAGATCCTGTTGTCCTAACACGCATTGGATTTTCACTTTGAACCATTCCGATTGCTGTAATTTCTCTGTCTCACTTCAGAAATCGCATTCCCAAGATTCTGAAACGAGAAGCAGGTCTTGCGGGCTAGCAGAAGCCAGGGACAAATGTGCGAGTGTTTGACTTTGGATCAGGACAACTCTTTCAAGAAAACCGTCGAGCACTGTTCTCCGACGGCCTTTGAAGGAGAAGAAGAACCACCCTTGTCTCATACAGATAGACGTTTCTTCTTGTTGCTCCTCTTGTGAACAGAGTCATTTGTAGGAATCTTCTCAAGTCGGTCTGTCCGCATACTTGAGCCTAAATCTGACAGATGCCAATCTCATCTTTAGAGAAGGAAATGGAAAATGATGCACAGAAAATCTCCAGCACTCTTTTATCAGTGGCTCAAAGCAACTCATAAGTGAGGACAAACTGAAGTCTTTAGACGGGAATTCTTCCTCAACTAGTGTCCATAAAGAGACCATCATTGGTGAATCTTCTCCTGATGGTGAGAAATGCTTGAGTTGAGCTTGTGAACGAAAAGAATCATCGATTGTAACTGCAAGCCATAAAATGCTTCGAAACAAAGGTCTGTAGAATGAAAGTAGGAGACAAAATGCCTTTTGATCTAGAAAAGTTATATGTAGGCACGAACCGGTGGAACCATATACCACTCAAGCACTTGTCTCTGATTGCAAAATTGTTCAGTGATACCTCTTTTCTTGACTAGGTGAATCTTATGGCAAGTATAAGTTGCTGAATGAAATCTCCCTCTTTCGTTTTGTTGTTATCTATGTAACTATCCAAGTGCTTTTCCGGACCTGTAGTAAATGACAAAGATCTGGAAGTGAGTCCCATCGCGATTAGAAGGAGTAGGGTTCATAACATTTATTCATAACAGTAGCAGTTCTAGAAATACTAGATAGCCATATTCTGTTTCAAAGTTAGCTGTACCCAGTTCTGAAACCAATTCTCCACCCAAATTATACTTTTGTGTACAAAAGATGGTAAATTTTTATGCATCAAATGTCTATATAGCAATTTGATTTTCATCTTGGATAAACATCTGGTTGTTAACACCGATTCCAGTGTCTCTCTTGCAACTAACCGTCAGTGATATACCATCGAGCACTGATGTAGTACTGAATTGACTATAGAGTCGTGAATGTAACATGCTAGTGAAACATCATGGACACTCAGTTGCTTCTACAGGTATCTGTGTAGACTTTGAGCATCATCGACTGAGAAGTTTCATGCAGATGCCTAATATGAAGTTTGTCAATTTGTCTGGTCAACATCCAGAATGTCTTTACCAGATGTCAACTGTGTGGGCCGAGCCTCCAGTCATCGGTCGTTTTCTCCTTTGTACGGCTTGTAGGGGTCTTCCAACATTTTTTGTTATCCACCTGGCCCACTTACTCCGGAGATGTCAACTCATTCTACTTGCTTTACGAGGAAATCCATGCCTAAAGACCCATTGAAAACTTGGCTGCTGATGATTATCTTTATCTTGATCTCACCTTCGTAAAGCATGATCCACGTCCAAATCGAGCCTGCAGATAAAGAGTATACCAACTAAGGTAGGACATAAACAAGCGTCACCTGCGTGTCCTTTTGCAAGTACGAAGTGTTTGCACGTGCAATGACCACAGTGCATCTCCAGATTTTACTAGTGGTGCTGTACTTTCTGCATGCCACTTCAGAGAGAGGCATAATTGTACATGATCCGTACACGATGTCGACATGGAGCTTAATCTTCGACGCTTATCGACAGATCCCACCCAAAATGTACTACAGACGGATAATAATGATTGAAGTTCATGATCATTGATAGACTCGGCCAATGGCTTAAGCTTGACGAACTGTTGTCATTTTAAGCCTAATATTTAGAGCGCAGTAATGATCTCGAGTGTACGGAGTTGAAGCAGTTATATGGTCAAGCAGTGACCATATGATAGTACTATCATATGATGTCCAATGTTGAAGCTTTTGAAGCCCCCTCCAAGAATGACAAATGGCTATCGATGGTAACAGTTCTCACACAATACAAACTTGAAGCTGCATCACTTTGGCCCAATCAGGTATAATTATCATACTTTTACTGATATCGGTAAAAGATTATCACTTTTTCAAATCCTTATCAGATAAGGAACGAGCTGTACTGTTCTATCTTCCTTCTTCCTTCGGAGTATAGCACGTACCTAAGCTACAGTGCCAATTCTGCATGATCTGAGAAGTAATCAATAATCGTTACGCGTAATCAGGGACAATCACATTGCAGTTAGTGAACCCATTTGCATACACGTTGTCAAGAACAATCATACATCAAGACTGGAGTATATATATGATCTGAACCAAGAAGTTCATCACAGTTTTCTACTCACTTCCTTCTGAAAGTGTGTTGCAGTCAACAACAACATTCCGTGGTGGTGACAGTAGGTTTTTTGAGCACAAAATTGGAACACGAGAGGTTTGAAGATGGATTCCCCAACTGCTGCAGCCTGGACCAAGGCTCTACTTCTTCTCGTGGTTACACTGGTGGCCCAGGCCCAACCAGGTCACTCCGCTTAGTTCTGACTCCCTAAGTATCAATCAACTGGTTACCTAGATAAGACCAAATCTCATGATTGATTGATATGCGGAATACTACTGATGGCATAAGACTTTGAAAGAGTGTCTGAATTCCAATAGATATGTCGATATTTTAGAGTATCTGCAATTATCCTTGACCTCTGTGCATCTGGATCTTCACCTTACATCTGACCGCACCTTCTGTGGACCTAGTCATGCAGATCAAGAGTTCAGCTATAGTTTCCCACAAAACTGGGGCGGCGACTGCACATATGGCAATGTTCAGTCGCCGATAAACATTCCACGAGCCACTTCGCTAGTGGATACAAGTCTGCCAGTTAATCCTATTACAAACTACACACGTAATGCAGGAAAACTATACAACAATGGCTACAGTCCAGAAATTGTTCCAAAGGTACGTCCGATAATCACGAACTCTTTCTGTCTCAGACGGAACGAAAAATCACATGTTTATTTCAGAGTATTTGTAAAGAAAGACTTTATCCGAGATTATGTTATTCTTACACGTCTCAATCCTGCACATCCTCGAAGCTAACTAAATGCATTTAAATGTTATATATTGTATGTACTGTAACTGTACTGTAACTGTATGTTGGGTATAACTCTACAGCATCCAGGAGGTTTCGGCACCTTAACGATAGATGGTAAGGTTTACAAGGTGATCAATGTCCACTTTCATCAACCAGCTGAGCATACAATCAACGTCTTCATCAGGTTCCTCCTATTTTTTTCCATCCAACGTATTATTCCAGTTGTAGACCTTGACAAATACGTTGGTATCTTTACATAGATTTGATCTTTTACATACCAGTTCCTGATACTTTTGATACTGTTACAAAAAGGCTGAGCATGGGGAGCGGGGGAAGGTTTCATGATGACATGCGAATGTATTATACAGGTATGCTTTGGAAATGCATATTGAACATCAAAGCGCCAACGGAGATATAGCCATGCTTGCGGTGTTTTTTACGCAGGGTTCGACCCCTAGCTCATTCTTGGAAAAGGTCAGTACCATGCTTCATATCTTTATTTTTCGTTACTTTATTTTACGTTATCTATCTTTATCCTATTCCTAATACTATCGATAAAGCTTCGAAGAACGCTCACATAATGCTTTACTTTTACTCTCCAACTTGCATTTTGGCTAGTGGGGGGGGATTCTTTCCAAATAAGACTGACTGAAATCAAACATTTAATTTTTCGTATGTAACTCCTTTTATGTCCGTCTGACAGTTCCTGGACCTTCTGCCGGAGATTTCTGAATCTGGCTCGACACCGATTGCAGTCAACCTGAAGCTGGATAAACCAGTGGGCAAGTATGCTCGTTATACTGGATCCTTGAGTACGCCACCTTGCACTGAGGGCGTGAAGTGGATTGTCATGCTTGACCCTGTACGTTATTCCTCAGCACCTCCAGCCTCTCTCTTTGAGCTCATTTTTTCAAGAGCTTGGTTGAGCAGACATTCTGTTGTTTTGATCTTTTGGCAGTGGTTTTCTCCCATACTGATCACTAGCGATATGGAAATAAATAATCTATCCGACTACATCCCGAGCTACACAAGAGATTCTGTACATCGTCAGAGACTTTCAGTCCAATTCAAGTTCTCGGAGTATGTTTTGAGACTTACAAATGTGGTAGGACGTATGACACATGAGATTCTGTACATCGTCAGAGTACTCGCAGCCCAATTCATGTTCTCGGAGTACGTTTTGAATGAGACTTACAAATGTGGTAGGAAGTGTTTCAACTCGGAAGCCTGTCATGACAATTTTCATATTCCTGACTTTGGTGCAGATCACGATGACCAGGAATCAGTTAGACCGATACAGGGCCAGCTTCCCAGTAAGTATAAGCAAAAAAATTTATGCTAGAGCTTGTTCTGATCAAATTGTAACATAGGCAACTGCATATAATCCGTTCATTTCATCAGCTCAAAATTATTTTCAATATTTTGTGCAAGAACAATCTATCAATGGCATAGATCCCTCCTGTTTGAATAACTCGCAAGGCCAAATGCTAAGCATAAGGATACAAGTACAGAAACCCATTTTACAGTAACTGACCCTCCTTAGTAACCCATCAAACTTCCTGCAGCTACAGGAATGCATGATTATATCGTCCGATGGACATTTTCCAGCAGTTCAGATATCAATCTGAAACTTTAAAATTGTCTTTTTTTCATGTGCAGACACCAAGCGCAAGATTCCTGAAGCCAATTAATGGAAGAGTCATCAGGCTGTCTCCATAGTTGGTATAATTTTGATATCAGCCACCTTAGAGACGATGGCCAAAAACCGTATTCTGAAGACTCTAAAATGAGGCTTACGGAATATGCGCGGCTTATCTCTGTAACAGGATTACTAGTAACGAAAGAATTGGAAGCCATTGGGTCTGAAAGAAACGGCATGAGCAGCCTGTATAACTGTTAATAAAGCAAGCTTCTCAAGTACAATGAAGGAGTTATAATGTATTTGGTGCACCGTAGGTCCAACTTTTCTTCTTCTGATACATTCTTACAACGGTCTGACCAGTGTAATCAATTTGAGCTCTATTATATCAATAGCTTTATTATACAACAGCTGTTTAGCCAAAATCGCGTTTTTCATAGGTCGGGTTGTAAAATACATATCATGCTGTCAGTCGAGGCAGTCACAACCAAGGACAGATCTAGACGACCTAAAACGAAACTGGTGAGGAATGAACCAACCACACTAATAACCAATAATACTTGCATTATGTAAACATTTTACAACATTTTATTGATAACTGTGACCCTTCAAAAGTAGCATTACAAGAGGGCACTCATGTTCTACCGTGAGCCAAAACGAGAGCTCGTGAGAGATTTTGACAAACTTAAACCCGTATAACACTTTCAGCAAAGGTTTGCATATAAGATAGAGAGCCTTCAGCCGCCATAAAAGAAGCAACAATTGCGGACTTGCAAGGGCTGTCTAAGACCATCAGAAGACGTGAAGGATAAGATTTTACACACATTTGACTACACACGTTCAATCAGAACTGCACGGCTATGTGAGTCAGGAAGAATTATAAAACGTCGAACATGTCAATTTCTTGTTAATTCAGAAGGTATTCAGGTGACTGGAAGTCTTCAGCCTGATGTTCAGTGCAATGTATGAAAGCAACAGAAACGCACAATTCTGGAAGGATTCATAAATTCCTGTCACATCAGGGATATCCCTTTAGCATAACGAGGTCAAAAAAATCATTCGGGGAACACAAGACACTGTCACTGGACAGAGAATTTCACGTCCTAAGAATAGCACCGTTTCACCATTCTACTGGGTTCGCTCTTTACCAATTTGAAGTTGCTGGCTCCTGCTCCGATTACTTACTACAGCCCCAAATTCGGTCAGAGTGATTCGCACAATTACCAAGTGTGGTCAATACTTGGACTTTCGTTTCCTGATCACATTTGAACGTTTTAGGCCTCCTGTCCCACGAACTATATAATGTGCAATTCCGCAACAAAGAGGATAATCTTCACAATGGGCAGGCAACAACTCCATTTCTCATAGATTCATACTCTTGATCTCCAAAGTCAAATCATTTCCTGATTACATTTGATACGGTGGAGGTCTCCAGGGAATTAACCCTCCTCTGCCACAAGTAGAAATGCGCGTCATTTCTTGAGCTATAGCGCTTCCGTGGTCAAGATCAGGATAGACAGCCTCGCCACTGTCCAGTCTAACTCGGCGGACATGCATGTTACATGATATCGTTTCAGTCCACATCAACATATCGAGTTGTACATATAGACGCATTGAGGTGTACACTGGACTTTTTGAGGACACTGACTCGAGTGCAACTCCTGATTATGATTTCACTGGTGGAGGGCCGCGCGAACGCGAGTCCTCCTCTGCCACAAATTATGACTTATGATTTCACTGGTGGAGGGCCGCGCGAACGCGAGTCCTCCTCTGCCACAAATTATGACGTGCATTTTCCCCTTGGGGAAATGCTAGGACTAGCCCGACCGAAGTGCAATGGAGGAGCCGGTTCTAGGTCATCGCCCTTCCTGACCAGCGATAGGCCCCGCCCAGGTAAGTATACCTTACTGTCTTAGACCAGGAAATATGTCTGTCAATTTGGCCCATTCCACCTTCTATGCTCATGGGTTTTATAGATGACCTGAGACCGCAGTGTCGCTAAACAGGACCTGGACCTCGTTTGCAACAATCCCAATCTTCATGAATGAGAAAGTAGCAGCTGAGGAGCATAACCGTGCAGACATTCTTACTCAGCTTATAATTTAGCGCAGACCCATGGGGACTTCTGAAGCTACAAGGTCGGATATCCAGATAAATTTGTACTTCAAGCTTATTCTGTCGCTTGCCCATACCATGAGGGGTCAAATTTGATTCTCGTGGCAGGAAACACTGGGTAGAGGCAAGGTTTATAGTCGAATCTTTACATCGAACTTCGAATATTCAGATTGTCAGGGTCTTTGGTACGCGAGGACTGTATTATAATCGGCCGGTGTTCGCTTCGAATTGAAAGAATGAAACTTTATATCCTTTTGCTTTCCTCGAAGTAGCTTCTTGCCTTTCTCGCCTCATGTAGAGCACCGAATCTTTCGCTTCAATCCTCTGAAATTTATCGGTCTCTTCCCAGGAAAGGTCATGATTCGTAGTTGGGCAGCATCAGTATCATTAGCATTACGCAAAATGTAACCTTTAGAGCAGCTCGGTGGATGCAACTCATAATCTAGCAGACAATTCTGAATGCAGCTTTCAGAAACGGTAAACACGTGATATTTCCTCCGGTCGAAACGTTAATTTGTCGACTGACTGGAATTTTGTAATGAATTCAAGTCAAGTTTAATAACGTAGGGACGTAGTTTAATTATAATATTTAATTAAATATCAGACAAATATGTGAAGACCGGTGGTCCTCCTACAGGAGGAAAGAAGCAAATCTGAGTCCCTTGAATCCACGTGAAAAATTCACTCATTCGGTTGCTGTTCGCGGCAATGCCTAATTGTACCACTAAATGGTGTTCATCTTTTGAGGTTTCATCAGGCTGAGATGAGGAATAAGTTCACCAAGTCCGACTCCATCGCGCTCAACAAGGAAGCTTGAGGAATCATTTCCGCATTCCATTCTCTCGTGTCTCACTACTACTCTTTTGTCCGCTGATCTGCAAAAAAAAACTTGTCTGGATCCATCAATGCTTGCTGGATCTCATAAAAGTAAAGAGACATCTAAAAAAGTTACGCCATCAACTGGAACAAATGCTAAGTACTTGATGCGTTGAATCCACAACTGCACCCTGCTTGATTTCCTCCAGCAACACCAACGCGTCTTGAAGCCCAATATCAAATATGCGTGCCCAAAACGGCCATGCGAAGTACGTTAAACTTTGAATCTGCTCTGGAACGTAGAGCTTTTGGGAGAAGCCAGAGGCAGGTGGAAATGCCGACTCGCTCATGGCGAAGATGATTTATTGCACCGGAGCAGAGCGAGGCTCCAACTCTGTGTCTGACTGTATTGATTATGTTGAATGAATGAAATGATGAAAGAAAAGGGCGATCGCGATGAGATAAAGATCTTGGTTCTCAAGAAGGTAAATGTACTGGAAATGAAACTTAGTATAACCCTCAATAACTCTAGGTTGTTATATTCGAACAATAATCCACTATTTCCACAACCGGGAAAATATATGGAATGAAAATGAGTTTTCATTCTCATTTCATTCAATGAAAATGAAAACTCAGTATAAGACTCAAAAACTCTAGCTTCTTATAGTCCGATTATTTTTTACAACCAGAAGCCTGACAACTTTCTACAACCTGAATACTTCTCCACATTAATAACTCTAGATTTTCATAGTCGGACAATTATCTACAACCGAAAGCCTGAATACTTCTCCACATTTATCACTCTAGATTCTCATAATTGGACAATTTTCTACAACCGGAAGTGCTTCTCCATTCATGACTGTAGTCTCTACTTTAATCTATAACCATCACATCCTAACAGCCACTGCAAGTTACTCTAGATACTTAATACTTCTCCACATTAATAACTCTAGATTTTCATCGTGGGACAATGCTCTTCAACAACTTTCTACAACCGGAATCCTGAATACTTCTCCACATCCATAACTCTAGATTCTCATCGTGGGACAATTTTCTTCAACAAGCTTCTACAACAGGAATCCTGAATACTTCTCCACATCAATAACTCTGGATTCTCATCGTCGGACAATTTTCTACCACCAGAAGTGCTTCTCCATTCATGACTGTAGTTTCTTTAGTCTGTAACCATCACACCCCAACAGCCACAGCAAAACTTCGATCTATCCACGTGTGCATGGAACCTACCATATCTCTTGGCCTAACACTGCTATGACCAATGAAGGAAATTGCAGCGGCCATGAAAATGACCGGAGTCATTTCTCACATTCATGAAAGTTCGCTCTGGGTGTACCTGCCAGATTAGCTCGTTGATCTGACGAGCGTCGTATGTGCGATCGTGGAAGATTATGTGAATGAATGATATAACTAGATGATTTCGTATGGTTTCCGGAATTTATGGAAAGGATCATTTTGGCACACCTTCGATTGAGGAATCCAATCTTCCAATCCAATCTTCATACATTCGTACGCCGAGACTCATGCATCTGTAACTTGATATTTTACTGAAGCTTTTCATTGGATTGCTTGTGTCAACTAAAATTAAATATACAAGCTCTCCGGGAGAGCATTCTTCGTATTGGATCCTATTTTCAACAACCTCACTACTAGACGAGTACAGATCTGTAATGATAAGATCAAAACGTCCGTAGCCCATAATTCTTGAGGATAACAGGGGATAAAAGAGCAAAAATGTCAGAGAATTTGCTGCAAATCGGTGTCTTGGCGGGCAAGCTCCAACAACATAGGGTCATCGAAAAATTTGTTGATGCTCACGTCTTCACTCATACCCTGCGTACATCAAACAACTCACAATTAGCCGAGAAGTGTTGCATACCATTATTCTACAAATGCGTAGGCACAAGGTGATAGATGCATATCGAAGACCTTGACTCTAACACTCAGAAAGTAAACATTCATAATCCGGAGTATTATAGAAGCGAAAAAAGGTCTCAATGCATGGATGACAAAATCAAGGAAGGACTGAGTAGATCGAGCCAGTAGATGTATGCATTATCCAAAGAGGAAAAGAGCCAAATGATCGACGTCTGAAACTAGAGCGACAATCAAGATGACAACTATTGAGATCAGGAAACAGGATGGTTTTACTTACTTTCCGTCTTCGAGTTTTCACCATGAATTCGCGAGCAAGATGTTGAACAGGAGCTGGTTCTAAGGGCCGGAGAACAACAGACTTGTCAAGAGGATCACCGGGCACAATCGACCAATGGTCAAATACAGACAAACAGAAAGCCTGTCCTTGCGTGTGGTATCTAAGATCCGTCTCGAACCCGAAAGACTCGATTACTGGCAGGAAAGCCTGCAAGAACAGCACAGGACCAGTCAGAAGAGCTTAAATCGACAGCCCCAAATGTTCTGGACGATATTTACACCTTCAAATCTTCATGCACCAATGCACGAAAATCCTCACACTGCTAACTTCGTAACCAATGTCTACTTCCTTTGTAAAAGCATGAAAACTAATTGCACGTTGTCTCAGGCTATTTGTCCACTTTGTCCCTACTATCACAGAAGAAGAAACTGAATATGACAGTATTCACCTTAACAATGTAAGCTGGCGTTCCTGGCTTAGGTACATCTGCAGTAACGTGCCCACGTCTCCTTGACAAGACCGTGTATATAGCTGACATACAGTCCGCTGGAGTTTGAATCTGCGCATATGAAGAGCCGAGTTATTGGTGGTCTCTAAAGAAGAGAAGTTTCTCTTTCTCTCAAGGAGTGAAAGGCTAGTCTTCTAAGACGAAGGCCTTTGTGTCCCTCGGCCACGCGTGTAAGCGAGAAGCATCTTCTCTGTATAAAACTGACTGATGCCAGAGGCAGAATCTCGTTCTTATATAAAGCGACAAAGTAAACGAGTTCAAAGTATTTTACCTCTACAAAATAGACTGGTTCCATCAAACGAGGGGTGGCCATGAGGAAAGCTGAATATGCGACACGCCTGGATGTAGGAATAATCTGGCCGCCTCCACGGTGCAAAGGTTCTTGAGCGACGATAGCATCCAAGATTTTGAACTTCACATTTCTAATAGGTTCATCACAAAGAGGGCCTTCACGTGCACCCCACTGAAACCTGCAGTTCATGGAGAGAAATATGATTAGCAAATAAACTGGAGAATTTGTACACTATATCTACTCCCGTCATATAGCTCTGAATGTCTAAAACTCTACCACGGAATCTTTTCGCATGATACCTTCACTCGCACGAAAGAGCAAAAGGACAGTGGTTTCTCTTGTCATGATCGCCGCTAAAGGATAATTATACAAAAATTCAGCTCGAGCTGCTTTGACAAACTGTACAGTTTAAATCCTATGTCCTCTTGTTTTCAGGATGTAGTTACAGATAGAATCAAAAAGACCTACCCTTGTACAATGGAATCCTTGACAGCAGAGAGCAAGCTCTTGTCTACCTCACTGGGTAGGGTATCGTCAAGAAGAATGTTTGGTCCCTGGGATGAAAAAGATGACGCAATTAGAAAATATTACCACACATATCAGGTTTCAGTGCTGCTTGGAGCAAGAACCGAATCGACAAATGAGCTAGATATACATTGCAACTAATCCTAGTGTGACAATTGAACAATTAAGGAATTACTTTGTTGAGCAATTTACTGAAATGATATAGTCAATCCAAAAGTACCTGCTTGTCAGGACCGAAGGCCCAAATTGACCGGGCCGCAAGTAAATCCCAATCGTACTTGTTTTGGAAAAAGTCACCAAGTCTCTTGCGGGGCCAGTCGATACTCACTACACCATTTTCGATATCCTCGGCTAGACCCTTTTCCAAAGGCTCAGCAATCTGCCAACAGACAGGACTTCAAATACTCCAGTGTGGAATCATATGCATAATTCAGAGACTTCTTGTCTAGTTCTTGACCCCAGGAACTTACTTTTCCGTAAAGAACAATCACTATTCCCCACTGCCCTTTACACACTTTTCAAGCCATGTTGCCTGGCCGTGTTAGAGCTGGTTTACCGCACCTTATGGCGTCATCCATTACATCGATTGACAAAAATATTCCCTATACAAGCTGTCATGTAACAATCACAGAGATAGGTATTTCCAGCAGACTACAAGTATCTCCGATGACAGACCACTTGTACAATTGGTGTTATACTGGATTGTACCAGAACCAACTGTCTTACCATCGTGAGTTTATTCTTCTTGTTTGGAGTTTCTGCGAAACATTTCAAGGACGAGGTCTCCACCACTGTCTCGCAAAATGATACAACAGGATCTGCGACCTGCACAACCACAACAAAAATTGCAATTGTCAAATTGGGATGCCCTCAGGACCAAGACCATCATACTCCTCAGGGTGAATGAAAAGTTACAAACAGACAAACGGATTTAAGCTAAAACTATTCTCTGTACTCACCTTTACTTCAACTTCCGAGTAAAGCTCGCGAAGATCCTTCATAATAGAGTCGAGGAATATTTCTCCTGTTCCCAGAATAGTGTGCTCTCCTGACTCCTCTACTTTCGTTATAGCGAGAGGGTAACTCTTACTGATTTTACGAAGGCCTTCTACCATCTTGGGCAATTCACTAGGATTTAAGGGTTCGGTTGCTGTCTTCACTACAGAAAGTGTATTGAACTGCAACGGTCTAAATATGTACACATCCTCGTCTAAGAACTCAGGACACAGAGTGGCAGTTTTCGTGATAGAGGCATCCACACCCTCAATCAATACCCATGATCCCGCCGGAGCTTTTGTAACCGGGATCCTGTATCGGGCCTGATATACCCATAACTTGGTCACTTCCTTGATAGCCATATCTTCTTCGTCATCAGGTGAATACCCTTCTCCAAGAACCCGAACTGACTGTCCCGTATGAATTGTACCACTCAAAATTCTTCCAAATGAATCGAACACACTGCAATCAGCTTTGGGATAGAGTTTCGTAACATTCACCATCAGTGGCCCGCTTGAGTTACACTCTTTCATTGACTGGGCAAGAGATGTGTCATGTGGGCCAGTGTAGGTATGCTCAACTCGAATGGCTGCAGCTTCCTTGGCCGACGGTATATGCTGCACCAACATGTCAGTGAAACCTGTCGTACCTCCAAATACAGAGCTGCAAGCTATTTTCAGCAAAGGCTTCACATTAAGCTTGTAATCAGAGTTGCTAAGAGTAACTCCCAGCTCCTGTAAAGTAATCTCTACACTTTTCCTGTGTTCACCAATAACCTGGCTGTATATTTTATACAGTGGCTCCAGAATGAACTGCACAAATGACCTCTCTCCCCCGCTGGTTGGAGGCTTTCTTTTGAAGGTTCTTGTGTCGGGATGGTAGTACAAGTCTCCCCAAAGGCGCGTAGCAAACTTTGCGGCGTCAAAAGGGATGCCATGGAGCTTTACATACAACTGGGCGAACGAAAGAAGAGTGAATGACCATCCACCCGTCGCACTGGCAAAACACACGTTTCCAAAAACTGGATCAAACTGTTGTGGGCCTTCTCCCCCTGCAGAATATGCAGCCATGAGGCTATTCAAGTCTTCTAGAGTATGACGAAGCTTGTGATAGGCGTCTGTTGGAGGCAACTTCAATTCCGTGATCAACCTATCAACCTGGAGTGAAAGCCAGATTTACAACCTTAACCCATTAGTGTGTGCCTTTCATAGCCCCGACACAAAAGACCCAAATGTGAGAACACTTAAAGGTTTCTTTCTCAAAAGTACCACAACTCCAATGGAAACTGTGAAAAAGTTGCAAGGGTTGTTATACCTTGTTTATGACAAGCACAATCGGTAATCTCTCCTGCAAGGCATGTCTGATTGATCTCTCTGTGTTAACCTGTTTAGACAGCGTATCAAGATGAGTAAGATTTACATATATACGGGACGACTTTTTACCTTCCAAGTCAAGGTAGCCCAAATCCACTTTCTTCACAAACTGACATAACAAAACATGTAGCAGATATTACAATTTCTTCTTCAGCCCACACAACAGACATCAGTTCCAAACCTTCTTCCACAGCAGCGATGTTTCCTAACGGCTCTGAACTTAGATCATGTACACTACGTACCATAACTCCTTCCACAGCGTCAACAACAACTACGGCACCATCGACCAGTCTTAGGGCTGCAGTCATCTCGTCAGAAAAGTTCACATGACCTGGGGTGTCGATGATATTGCACAAGTATGATTTGCCAATGCTGTTCTCCAGGACCAGAGACATGGGCACCGACTTTATTGATATCTGACGCTCCTGCTCATCAATTCGAGTGTCAGTGTATCTTAAATGCTTCTCACTGTTTGGATCCAAGGTCTTTATCTCATGTGTTTGCTCCACAAGCATATCCATGATGAGGGTCTTCCCATGATGGAGGTGACCTATCAAGGCCACATTCCTGATGAGAGTAGGATTTCCCATGAGACCGAGCATGAAGTCAGTCTGAACATACGTTGATAGTCCATCTCTCGCTGCAACTTCAAAATTCTTAGTTTTGATAGGTTTGATTATTGGGTCCTCTAGAGGTTGGGCGTCTTCGTCCATGACAAGAGTTTCCACTCCCTCGCCGTATACCTGCAAACAGAGGACGCACCTCAGCTCCTGAAAAACACATCTTCCTCTCTTTGATATTTTACGGACACATTAAGGGAAGCTCACGGGGAACAGAGTGGTAACAATTCTTTCACACGGAGACAAAACAGCACATCGCAGTTTAGCAGCAAAAGAGCAATTTCTAGACACAGAATGCAATAAAGCATGTTATGGATGATGACCACGTTAGCTGGACTGATAATGGCCGTCGACGATCCGAACATGATGAAAGCCTGAAAATCAAAGAATGCCCTTGTGCACAGCTAAACAAATCCTTGCAAACAATTCTGACCTGGAAATATGGTAAAGTCATAATCGCGACGATATTCAAGAGCATAGACAGGGCAGGGCGACTTCTTTACATACAAATCAACCCCAAAGTCATCTAACTGGATATGTGCCCAGTGTAAACCTCGAGCCATTACACTATCCAATTTACCCTAATGTTTTACTTCTAAACAACATTGATCATTATTCTTGTGTCCCAATAATCGGTGCAGATTCTACTTGTTTCCTTTTCTCTCTTCGCATTACATGAGTAGGTATTGAGAAGCTAACTCTGTAAGATACTATGACGAGGAAAAGGGCCGGTGTGTTTTCGCAGCTGAAATAAACATGAAACATAAAGAACATCACAAGGTTGTCATGAATGACAACGCGGTTTTAGACAATAAAAACGGAGAAAATAGAGCGGGAAAGCAGCGTACCTCCATGGCAGTGGGATAATACTTCTTATCTTCGGCCAGAACAACAGCGCCTTCGGGCTCCATCTCCTCATCGTTGAACTGAGCATCTCCATTGTCAACATGCGACATCCACGCCTCCTCTCCATCGGTGAGACCATTCGCGTCGGGCTTTCCGCGCTCATCATCATCCTCCTCGACATCCAAATCTTCATCGTCCGACTCAATCTCCGGACCTATATAATTACCAAACTCGTCGTACAGGCTCTCGTCCATAGCTCAAGCTCGAATGCTGCAGAACAAAGAACTGAACCAAAATAAAAGCTCCGTTTCTGATTCCTGAGATCAAAGTCTTATCCGAGAGAACGCCAAAATGTGCCCTGTGCGCGATCCGGTCGACAAAGCCCGCGTCAGCGAGCGAGGCAGAGGAGCTGGATTTTCAAACCCTTGGACGAAAAACTCGTTCCTCGGTCGAAGTGGAGAGAGCGCCCGCTGTCACAGCTCTCCTTCGAAACCCCGTAAACCCCACCGTCCACTTTCCAACGGCCGTCAATTTTCGTTCGCTGCGCCGTCCGTCAGCTTCAGTCGACTGCAAAGGTTCTGTACGGACGAAGAATGTGAGGTTTAGGGTAGCGCGTGCTGGCTTTTAGTAAAGCCAGGGTCGGACCAAAGGCAAATGAACGAAGCCTTTGTTATTATTTGAGCAAATGGAGATCATAGCAAAAGGAACGCATCGAGTTTGTTTACGATGACAAGGGTGAGTTGTTTATTCCTGTGGAGAGAGAATATATTGACAGTTATTAAATTAAGAGTGATGAATCTCTGATTATTTTATTTTTTTATTTTACATTCTTTAAGTTCTCAGTCTGAGAAAGTTTGAAATAATCTATCCAGAACTGAACATAAAACTTTTAATTTTAAGAAACCTTTAGATATGAAATAAGTTTAATTTCGATAATTTTCAAATTTTTCTTTGAACTCCATGATCAATTTTCCACTTTGAAGTGATCATAAAATGCTCTGTACAATATGTTAAATATACATTTAAGTTCATTTAAATAGAATAACCTAAATAAGAATATATAGTCCTGCTACTAAAAACCAACATTCAGAACAAGTGTGCGGATAAACACAAAAGTGACTGAACTTTACATATAAGAATATGTAATGTTAATTTCATTTACATGACATTCATAAAACATCTGGAACTGGATGGGCCTCTACAGTTGCTGAAGAACGAAATGGGAAGTTACACCGAAGGACAAACCTTCCATTCTCGTCAAGGGGAACAAATGATCGAGGAAAGGAGTATTTGGAGGGATGATTTACAGGCCCACTAGTCGTACTCAGCTACCTGACGTGGGGTTTAATTCCTGTTGGCGGCTCCCATGGGTAAGCTTTCACGCGCAATCAGCAACTTTTGTAATTTTTCCTTATTAATTTTTGGACGCATTCTCTCCTCACTGACATTGACAATTTCTTACAGTATTTCTTACAATTTCTTACAGCATAGAGAAACAAATGTTTGTGATTAAGTTGAAGGGTGTGAATAATATATCCCTTCCCGTGCACCTAAAAGCAGGTATTTTTACCACGCAGTTTTATGTCTATGTTTTGCAGACACTGGCGAATTCTGATAACCTGGAAAATTGATTGCATCCGCGCTCATTTCGAGTTCACATTGAAATACTTCCACTTGACTGATTTGTCTTCTGCGTTCGATGTCATGGCGATGATGTCCTTGAATGTGTCATGATACGTGACTGTTTTGATGAATTTCAATGATTCCGACTATCGTGTGACCTTCAAAAGTTGTCAAACGAATGTAGAAAAATGTTCGTGCAGTACATAAATCTGGTGAGGTCGAGCTCACATCGCAGATAACTTTCAATTTAGTCCTCTCATTACCTCAGCTTCGACCGTGTATGCTGTCCCAAGCTTTTGCTAGAATATTGAGGTTTAATTGTGTTGATTCTGACCAATTGAGTCTCAAGGTATTTGATCTCACCATTCGGCCTTAAAGATGTAAACGGGGTCCGACAAGGAAGACCTCATCAAGCCACAATAATGAAACCAAAGTGAATAACCAGGCTCCGAGTGCGTCACCAGGAAACATATTTCTTACTGCTCCTAGGATATCCTGTTTATCTAGTTAAAACTATCTACAATCAAGAACATTCTGAGAAGCATCGCCTACTGTGAACATAATCTTCTGTCTGGCGATAACTAGTGCATCTGAAGGCCGCATGTTGAGTTAGAAGCAAAAGAATGCAGAAAAGGTGCAATATCTTGCAATCCCGATGCCCAAAGTGAGAAATTCTTTCCACTGTCTACATCCTTCTGGTGTAGTCTAATTAAGTACGCAAAATCATGCAGAGGGATCAAGGTCTAAGATCTAAATTTACAAGCATGCAGAAAGACGGAAGCATTAGCTGAAGAGCTTTACTGGTCATATTTTAGAAGGCATAGCCATTTCAATATACAGTTTTTGTGCGAGTAAGATGTGGATAACCCACAAGCCTACGTGCACAAGGTGAAATTCATCACAGGCTTGAAAAGTTAAAATAAAATATGCCTAGTGAAAGTAAAAACAATAATCTCCGGTTCTCCCATAATAACATTTCCAATTCTTGTTGAAAGACCTCTCGAGCACTCGTAAGAGTCCGAAGAAGCTCACTCGTTTGAACTAACAGTTCACGAACTCAACAGTGAAATCAGATAAAAAAGAATAGACATGTTTCTGTCGATGATGAGAATCAGACTGTACTTGCACATAAGAAAAATACATTATAAATCTGTACTACTGAGATGAAAGAAAAAATGAGTTGAAAATCTACATTTCGACAAGTCCTCTGATGTACACACTTTTCGCAGAAGAGTGTGATCGCCTCTAACTTTCTTAATTTATACATCAATATGGGTACCATGCCCAAGGTTAGACAATGAATTGCCAGGAAAAATAGTGCTCAAAAAGCTCACAAGCAATGGCTTTAAACACTACCTGTTAGACACAACCTTTTGCCCCACTGGCAAATATATACCTATGAAACAACTTACTGATACAAAACCATAACTCACTGTGGGTCCTGACTGCGAAGACCCTAGAAAGCCTCACTCACTCGTGATGCTCAGCACTTTAAGAGCCATCAGGGTAAATATTTAGGATCAGTATACTCAAAAACGGTAATTGAATAGATACAGAAGGGCAGCCTGGGAACCCTATCTTTTGACCGTTGGTCTGTAGGGGATTGCTCGTGGTCTCCCGTCAGAGTTGACACCCTTATCACCATTCACTTCAAGGTCGTGCCTGCTCAAAATAAGATCCTTCAGTCCAAAAGATCCTACAACAAAATGCATATCCTAACATAGCATTCATGGAAATAGATGCGCTCTTTACACTGGCATCTAGTGCAGTTCGACTGGAAGATCATGATCACAACATCAAATAATCCTTCTATCCGGCAGATATGAGAAAAAGTCATAAAAGAGAGACTATTCCGGGAATAACAATTAGAGAATTGAATGTGCAAAGTCGTACGAATCAGTTAGAACATAGGAATATACAGAGAGATAGTATAGCTAATTGCTGGAACTGCACATGGCTCTAACGTGAAATAGGTTAATGAAGCTGACAAAAAGCATCGCTTGATAATAGATTTCAAAACAAACGTACACATATGATTCTCTAAACAACGCTTATACAAAGCTTACGGCCGACATAAAAACGAGATATAGTGTCCTGGGTACTTACTGAAACACAAAATCAGGTATTGTCAACTGCTCTCGTGGAACATATCTAAAGAGGTCTAGGAGCCTTTCTACGTAGACAACTTTCTTCCAGACCTGTTGCATAGACAGACGGAATGTGAGAATGCTGTCATCCAACTTAATATCGTATACACATGACCGCATTCAAAACAAACAAAACAACAACAAAGTCATAATGAACTCCACAATCAAATTACTGAGAACAAACACTAAATTGATACCGATTGCATACCTCGGGTTCAACCAACATTTGCAGGGCGACGATAGTGGCTCTAAGACCCAGAGTGGGATGAAGTACATATATTGCCTGCACAGTACAAGGCCTCAATTTTGCATTCTACTGATTTGCAGCGATTTGTGATGGAATTTGATGAAATATCCTCCAAATATAAGTAAAACATATGAACGATAGACAATAAGAACTTCAAAGAAAACCTCCATGCATTTCCAACAGAAACTGGATCAGAATTATACATGGAGATTGTGTTTGTGTCTGCGCCCCAAGATCTGCTCCAACCGCTTAACCCAACCTAGATCCGGTTGCCTGCAGATATAAGCATACTCAAACATTACAATTTTCAACTTTAATGTTTGAGTAACTTCCAGTCAACTCCCTAATCTGACCTATATGGCAATTCTATCCAATTTCTATGGCGATTGACAAGAGCCATGTGCACAAGTGACAGTACTAGAACAAGTACAATGGGTCTTCGAAACTCCGAGCTTTCATTTGAGATCAGAACTTACAATTGTAAAGAGGCTGCTGAATGGAAATAAACGATAGTATACGGTCTTAATATCAAGGCCTCAAATTCCTGCACCAAAACCAGGTCAAAATTATCGAGGTCATCATCTACATTGCTTGCGCGCAAAATACTTTTAACATGCTTTCATCCAGTTGAATGAAAAAATATTACATACCTTCACAACGTACAAGACAAACCGCTCCAAGTCCAGACATCGTAGAAGGAAATGTGCACCAACGATGACCATGACTGGCCGACCATCCATGTCCGTCCCACCCCGGTATCTGCAAAGCACTACTTTGTAAGTACAGCGGAATGTGCTCCTATCTTCCACGGGATGATCAACCGGCAGAAACTGAGTTTCCATGCACACAACTGATAATGACCTATCCTCTTTCGAGCAACACTGACCAAAATGATCCAATTGCTGGCAGAGCCTGATTAGCTTGTATACACTGCAGCATATAGGACCTGAGTGTGCTAGGACGTGATACAAGAGTCAGGATTATGTCGACCTCAAGCTTACATGATTTTCATCTCAGCGACTTCTGTGAGATTCACTGCGTTTGCTCGCGCAAGAAACCTGGCGTGCAATGAATCCTCTTCAGCGTAGGACAAGGCGGGGGCCCCAATGCCCCCCAAGCCAATCCATTTACTCCAGCCCCAACCTGCTTGAGCTTGAACAGCCCTTTCCCACTGTTCTTTTCTCCTTTGATCAGGATCTCTTGTCATAGACATGAAGACGGGATCCACGAGGGCATCCAGAGTGTCACTCCTGCGAGAATCAAGGTAATGGGTGAACATCTTTACTGCCAGATAGCTTACCCGTTTGAAGCAACGTAGTACGTATGAATTAGACCGGTTTTGTGTCTTCCAGAACAGGGATTTCAAAACTGGTCTTTCTTGACGAATCAATATTTTGCATCGGAAAAAGTGAACCTTTGAATTCGTATAAAGTTATAGAGAGATAGGATGAGTAGAGCTATCGTCACTGATAAAAGCCTGTCGGGAGGTTCTGTCTGATGAAAGTCACATAAAAAGATGCACGATTACAACAAATGTAACACAAAGGAAAGAATCAACACGCTTACACAAGATGCCAGAAGTGTAGGCTTCGAAGTAAGGCGGAGGAGAATGACGAACCTTTTGGCAGCGGATGGTCTGTAATAAGGTGTCACATCTCCAGACACAGGTGGAGACCACTTTGGAGAGAGAGGTGACTGGGCAGTTCCAGGAAGAGCAGATATTCTGATTTTCCGTTCAGTTATCACTGTCTCTCCATTTTCATCCCCGACGTCAGGGGGTAATTTTGTACTCGCAACGTCTTCCTCCTGCTTGTCTCGGGGGAAATAAAGTGGAAGTAATCTGAAAAACGACGAAGACAGCTCAGCGATTGCACAAGTAATTATTTGGATTTCCAGAATAACAAAACTCGAAGAAAATGTTCTATTACTGTCTCTCATATTGTTTTAGCGTACATCTCCCACTATCCACACGACTACGTGCTGAGTAAAAGTATCGTACGACTCGGGTATATATTAAGTAAACACCAGTGAAGGCTTCCAACTTTTGGAAGAGTCACTTCTGCCACTTGATATGTGCTCTATTTCAAGCCCGCGCATGAATTGAAGAACGAATTGATCTGATACCTATTACAGCGTCCGTTGCCCACCTTTTGTAGATCTCGGTATCAGTTGTTGTGACAGTGCAAAAAACCACTGCTGTTATCTTCTCCTTATATTTTTCAAGGAATCGGCGAACAGTCCCTGCGTATAATTAGAAGTTTTAGGAAACTTTTAAAAGATATGCATATGCCGTTACCAAAACATAGGCATATTCGGCACAACGTCACATCGTATTCACAAACACACACACCTCTCCTTGACGATAAGGTTAGATATACTCACGTATTGCTACATGGGCGGCAGCTTCCCGAGGATATCCCTTTGATTCAGTGTAAATACAACCAAAGGCAATACTGATCACAACCAAGACCGCCCAGCAACTTCAAGTTAGTGGGACCGGCTAATTTCAAACCGTCGACTGATTCAATCCAATGAAAAAAAAAACTAATACGCGTATTCGGCTACATTCCGTCACAAACACACTTGACAGGGAAACGAAGGACTGAGTAGCCTCACAACGCGCCTTTTTACGAGGCCGATTCATCCCACCAAATACATTTCACGGTTGGGAGTGTTGACACACCTTGAAAGGCCTTGTTCTAACAACAACTCGAGGCAAGATCGGTAACAGTGACTCAGGGCGTTTTCTGCGGCTGTTTGATACTTGGGTGCATATCTGGGGCCTACTGTGTGTATGACACGCCTGCAACAAGGAATTTCCAATACCAGTTAAGCCTCACAGAGTGCAATCGAGAGACAATCAGAAACTTCAAAGTGGACGTGGCCCTTCTCAGACCTGGCAAGTGAGATGCACAGAAATTTTACTTCAAATCAATATCAATATAGTAAATCGTGATCACTAAAGAAAGGTGGGAAGAGACAAATGTACCTTGCAGGCAGGTCATAGCCACTAGTGACTTTCGCCAAACCAGTTCTGCAACCGCCCTGTTCAGGGCCAAGATAACACGAAAAAATCAGCCAACGGTAACCTTATACATAAAATTATGGATTTTTTTCTGAGCTAGAATTGGCAAAATCAGTGCCAGCGAGCTTGTCTGGGGCTAGTCAACTTGCTAAGTTTATTTTCAGGCGATACCAAGACAACACATACAAGCAAGTCGATTTCGATGTACAGGTATAATGACCGAGGCGACCACAATGAACGACCATACCAGATTATTTTCGAAGTACCAGCGGAAATCCATTTACTTAAAAGTGAGATTTACCAACTCACCAATGTGGAACATTCTTCGATAAGTCCAGGCCCAGCCGCTTGATGTAATCCAGGACTACTTTGGGCTTCGTCTAAATTCTGTAAAAGAATTTACCAGATAATTAAATCAATAAGAAGCAAGGAGGGAATATACAACCCAAAACTGATGCTCCTAAAAGACCAGCGTCGTTTCCAAATCTAAGCTTCACATCCGAAACCCCAGAAACCTGTGAAAGGAACACTGAAAACCCCAAAACATTCGAAACCACAATAATAATAACGGCTCGACTCGAAATCACAGTAGGTTCACTGAAGTAGAGAACAGATAGAAGCCGATGCTCGAAGACTAGAACCACAATAGGATCTAGATATCAAACAAAGCCAGCAGAGAAGTTTGAAAAACGGTACGGTGATGAGAAACCTGCAAGCATGAACTCCGCACTATACAGGCGGGTCGGAGCAATCAAATTTACAACTGGATTGTTTTTGTCCCTGATTATCACTAAGGGCAACATAAGAAAAGTTGAGACGATACACGCAGAACATAGATATACTTCATTGATAGTCTGAAACCAGAGTCACAAAATATCACCACTCCTATTCTTCTCCACATCTAAAAGATTAAACGATACAGATAAACTGCGCCAACTCACAAAAGCAGAAACAAGTGCGATGAAGAGAAGAGCATCCCACCTCGTTCGTTGAGTTGACAACCGCATCTACTTCCAGAGGCCAAGGCTGACCGCGCCACAGGTAGACTTTGGAATTAATTTCTTCATCCCACAAAAACTTGGAGCTACCGGTACCAAGATTTCTTCCGGCCGTACCACCGGCATTTCTACTTTCAGACGGTGCAGTTACAGAAGTCAGAGGATCAATAAACGTACGGTCTGGAGACGAGGTTTGGCTTCTATTGCTCTCGGAAACTTCGAACGCACGGCCCTCATGTTCATTCCACCGCGGCACCTGGTCCAATTTCACAACGAACTCGCCCCCTCCCACGGCAGAAGTCCGGGTGCTCACTCTGGTGTACATGGTTCCCACCCGTGCGCATTCCGCTCTTCGCCACCCCGATCTCCTCCTCCCCGGCGCACTAAGCCCTGACTTTCCTTCTCCTCCCCATCGCCACTCGCAACTCTGTAATCATCCCTTTCAAATCCTGGAATCAATTCTCCTATCCACGGACCTCCCCGGTCGTCCTTCCAACCTGCTGGTTCCCTTCCTGCCGGGCGTGCTCACTAGCCGGACCGTCAAATCACTACTCAGATCCGCCTAAGCTGTGCGCCACCATCCGAATCGAGCAATCAATCAATCCCGCCTCCGGCCGGGCCCTTGCCTCAAATCAAGCTGCACCAGAATCCACACTGCTACAAACATTTACATCCCGCTCCGGTCCCTTCGCTCGACAGCCCGAGAGTCGAAAATCCGCAATTTCCACCAGCCCTAGAGCCACCCTGCCATACGCGCAGCTTCGTTCGGTCGGTCCAGGCGAACGAATCTGCCGCGGGCTTGCAATTCTCACAGCGCCGAGATCGTCATCGCGCTCGCCTCGCCTCTTCCTCGTCCCCTCCCTCTCCTCTCCCTCTCTCCCTCTCTCCCTCCCCGCCCCCGCTCCCTTTCCCCTGTCCTCCTTTCTTCGGATCCTCCTGCTGCTGCTGCTGTCGTGTCATCGTCGCCTTGTTGTTGTAGTTGTCGTTCAGTGAGACGAGACGAGGCCTGCCTGCCTGCCTGCTCTCCTTCACTCCCGACAATCGCGCCTCCCTTCGTGATTGCCCGCCGGCAACTCCCGCCACGGGAGAGCGCAGGCAACCGGGTCAGCCCGTCCGTGAGGAGCTCTCTCTCTCTCGCGCATGCAGTGAGACATCGTCGTCGTCCTGTCCGGCCATCACCACCCACGACATCTCCCGCCGCTTCTTCTTCTCTCGACAGACAGACCGACCGACCCACCCGCTCTGGCCCGTCCCTCGCTCCCTGGCAACCTGCTCTTCATTCCTTGCGCTCCGCCTCCGTAGGCACATGCCATGTGGGGACGCGGGGGCCTACCGGGAGGGAGGGAGGGAGAGATGGAGGGAGGGCATGGGCGCGAGAGCCACGGACGGACGGACGGGGGCTCTCCTGGCGTCGTCGGATTCCCATTCACTCCCTCCCGTCGCTGCCATTGAGGACCGTCGAACGCGTGCACCGTGACATGGACGATGCATGGCATTGGAAGCCTTTCGGCGGTGAATCGCACATGTGACGCACTGCCTCTTTGCTGGGGCCAGCTCGGCCTCCCCTCCTCCCGCACATTTCAGGCAAAAGTGCAACATACATTTCGCGGCGGACTCTTCCGACGCCTCTTCTCTGAACCCCGTCTTACCTTACCCCGTGGGTCAGAGAAGTGACATCTGGCGCCGGTGTCGACTATCATGCCTTCGGATTGTGTCTCCCTCGGGTTCCCTCGGTTCTGCGAGCTTGTGGGATGTTTTTGGTTTCTCCCCGCAATTAGGCCATCTGTTTTTTGCCTTGGCATGCAGTTCATCCTCGCGCGATACGGGGGGAGATGCAATATTAGGACTGCAACTGCATCTTCCCTGCTTCGGAGCATGTACTTTGCTCATTCTTGGGAAAGAAATATTTATTGCAAGTACTGCATGATGGTCTTCAGATTACCGTATCTTCGAGTTCATGATCAAATAAATCCTATGTCCTGCACAAGTTTAAGATGATGATTTTGCACTTGTGAACGACCGGCAGTTCGAGATTGAGTTTCACGTATGTGTGAGATGGCACGTTGTTGTAGATGATCGTGTAAGCTATGAAATTCATGGTTCTATAAGTATAACCATGAAATTTATAGCAAGTTACAAGGTCCAAACGTGGCTAAAGGCGAAACAATAAAATTTGACTAGAAATATGTCACGGTTAGTTATCGAAACAATCGCCACCTTCAGAGTAACATATCCACTATTATCAGGTATTTTTGGAACCGATGAATGTAGCTGTAACTTTACGTTGCCCTAATCACTCCCACCCTTGCCATATTGATGCTGGGAAATGTGATTTTAACGGCAATATATGGAGTACTCTTCACTCAACACTTTGATAAGACTTCGAACTTCCAAGATGTCACCATGAAGATTGATGTAACCATTATTGTTTCAAGCGAATAGTCAAAGACACATTGAAAATTTAAAAATACACGGTTTTAGCACATTCAACATGACTAAGGGATTATATTTACTTGTAGGCTTGTGAAAAGAGTTCCAAAATGTGAAGTCTTCGAATCAGGAGAGACTAGAGAGGGGGATCTCAGGACGTGGTCGAAGATGTTAGAATGTGAATACGATTAAAAAAAGAATGGCACTTATTCAAGTGCTTAATGTATGCCGGTTTAATTTCAAAGGTGCCAAGTGATATGGTTTAATTTCAAAGATGCCAAGTGATATGGTTATTTGAACAGATTGGGAATGAATGGTTATTGAATTGATTTTACCGGAGACTGAAATTCTAACTGAAAGACTTCACACCACCCAAAGCAATGCATTCTTCACGCAACATAAATTTGAATACTTATGTATATCTATAGAGTGAGAATTGTTGAGTTATTTGATGAAAGATCTATTACTTTCTGTTGGAATATTTGTAAAATATATGCAAAGGTTGGTAGAAAATCTTTTGAATATCTGTGTTATGACTGTAATCTATTGTTTTATGTGGCATATTTATTCAGTCTCTTTGAGACTAGATTAATGTGTCAATTGTTGTAAAATAATTTGTCTGTGCATTTCATATAGAGGTAAGATAAGTCTTTCATAAGCGTTGAATTTATGCATGTATGATACCATGGACAATCAAATTTTAGGGTATTTTTTCTTGATCTACAATGATGTTTATATTTTCATGTGTATACAATGAAATCTTCATTCAAATATATTACATCTTTAACATGAGGAGATGGCAGCTAGATTTTATAAATTTCACGTTAAATTTATTTGGATATATGTATATAGGGCCAAGAGTCTGTCTCCAGCTTGACTGATTTTTTTAAAGCAAATCATGTGATGAGTTGGATATAGCCACATGTTATTAATTCCTATGTAATTCATTCACATAGACTTAAGGCATTAGAGAGAATGTTAGAGGAAACACAGCTTTTTCACCCTTTGTACATTTGGAAAAATCAAGCAATAATTCTCATACTAAATAAGATTTTTCTCAAATGACTTGTAAATTTAGTTTTAAAATGATGTGTTTGGATGTTTAAGAATAATCGGTGTATAGAAAAAAGTGTACACATCTATGTTCAAGAAAAATAAATAATATTTGACTATATATAATATTTGAATGGGTTCATTCATTTTTTACAATTTATACACAGTTATATATGTATTTTTAAAGTGCATGTTAATCATGATAAGTGTGCAGTTTACCAACAAATTTACTTAATTTATATACTCCTTTGTTTCACTAAGTTTTTTATGATGGATATTTAGCTTCAAGAAGAAATATGTTTTTTTGTTTACAGATAATAGATGTTAGTTGACTTTTTTGCGATGCAGAAATGTCTAGATCATTGGACCAAGTTTTATAAAACATTATTATACATTTACTTTATTAATTATCTTATCATTCTGCATCATCTTCAACAACAGCGATCTCTCATCAAACCAAGTTGCAGATTTTTACCAAATTAGTCATATTCACATAATTTTAAATTGAAACTTCACACAAATCTTTCCAAAATCTGTGTGAAAAGACTATTCAATTATTTACGAACACAACTGATTCTGAAGCACTTTTTCTAAGCAGTTTAATAAACTCTGTCATGTTTATTTATGATTTCACTTCTTCTATTTTATTCAAAATAAAATAAAGAGTTCAAGTAAATATAATCAGATTGATGCATGATGTTTCAAATTAAATGTTAGGTCTAAAGCATGTTACATTTATTTTTTGGATACTTTATTCATGAAAAGATCACGTCTAAAATTCTAATTTGCCTCGTGTTTTGTTTTTTATTTTATTTTTATACCACTCAATAATGTCAATCCGAAATATGAAGTGATAAGCAGACATGCAAATAATCGATCAACAGAAAACACATAGTGATAACATGGTTCACCTTTTAGAGGGTTACGTCCACAGCGTAGTACTCGCGAGAGACTTTACTACCAAGGTGAAACCACAACAGTGAACAGCGCAGAAGCATCAGGGTATATCTGTAGAACACCGAGAACCAACCTAGCTATAAATGACTAAATCTGAGGTTACTCCTTAATCAGAGTTAACCTCAACAAATAATGATTTTTTATTCATTTTTTTAACTCTTTTGATAGAATCTTGATGTGCTAGTCTAGAAAAGCTAGAAATTTACATATCAACTCACTTTTCAACTTTTTGAGTAATCAGAAGAAGTAAAAATTAGAAAATAAGTAATTTTTTTTTGTGTGGATAAAATTGATTCCAAATAACAATAGAAAGAAAATTTGAAAATGAATTACAAATGTAGTGAGTTCTGCCAATTTTAAAATAATAAATTATGATCATGGTATAGTTAGAATTTGTCGTTTTTCATGATAACTCTTCATAAATTTGCAATTCAAATATTATATAAAAAAATAAGAAAATAGAAATTAGATTAGTCAGCGTTAAATTTATCTGAGCTTAGATTGAATGTTCCAAAAAGCAATGCATGATCTACTATGAAAAAGAATTTAACGAAGCCAAGATTTGCTTCAAATGTAATTAACCTTAAAGGATAAAAATTTATAAGTGATATCCTTTTTATCATTGATCCAACATAATTTCAATGAAGATTCACAACTGATTATTATTGTTGTTACTGGATAAAATGTAAGACTTTTTGATAAATGTAGATTATACATGGTAAGAATCTTGTGACTAGAATATGACGAAAACTTCTAACAAGATGTCAACATTATGTCAAAGCTCTATAGCGTGGAGTGTTCGTTGGTTCAAATTTTAGCTGTTGTTGATGCTCCCATTCCTTATGGAATGAGAAGATAATTTTAAATGGAGTGAAAATACTTCAAAACCGGGAGTGCTTGTGGTAAGGTGTGTTCAACGCATGCATTTTTCTCTCTATTATTGTGAATATAAAGGAAGAATAAATTGTGCTAACGCTCTTAGTGATAAACAACTTATGTCTCACGTCGTCTAAACTCGTACGCATAGTTGAAGGAAGAAATCAAGTACGTCAAGAAAAAGTTGCAGGGAATTTCAAACGTAAGTAGCTTTCATTTAGAATAATTAACGATGAACATTAGTTCTCACACTTGAAAACCATTTATTGAGATGATTTATCGTAAGAGAACTTCACGTTTTATAAATGAAAATTTACAGACTTTAGTACCTGAACAAGCGAAACCAACCAAGATCAATAGCTTCAAGTTTCACTCGTCCAACAACATCCTCGTTCAAATGAAATAATCCTTCTTGGGTTTTACCTAGATCCTAATTTATCATGTATAACCATGTCGCGAAAAAATTCATACATGCTTTTTCTGCATTATTAATCGGAAAATCCTAAATAGATGAACAAAAACCTATACATATGCTCATTAAAGATATAATGAGCTCTATATAGGTATTCATGGAGATAGACCCCAATATAGTCATAATATAATATTAGATGAGTACAGTTATGGTACTTCACCTTTAAACCTAAAATTATAATCTTTCTCAAATTTACAACATGTCTAGTCGTCACTCAACTCTTATATAGACATGCAGCTAGCTAATGGCTTTGAATATAATAAGTCCAACAGTATGCAATCTGTGCAATATGGGAAAAGAAAATTAAGAGCGTAAACAAGTGTGAAAAGATAGGGCTGGAGTATCTGCACTAAACAACGCCTTGCAATTCCTAGACTTTGCATCATGGTCAGAGAATTCTTTGATCACCTACCTGGATGAGTACTGTTGGGATCATCTTCGGACCACTACAACCCTACACCCTGCTACACCCGCAGTTTACCATGACACTCAGGAATTTCTTGACTGTTCTTCCCTTTTTTTTTCCCGTGTTCCATTCTTCCATTCTTTCATTCTTTCCTCTGGCTTCACCTCGTTTGTTTCCTACTATCGCACATCTCGTGTTGGGGTCCTGGCCTATGGATCACCTACACATACACTCACTTGTTGTTGCACCCGATTATGCAACGAGATATAAAGGTGCTAAGCTCGTCATGTTAGTCAACCTTCCGTACAGAACTGGAATACCTTCAGCCTACCAAAGATGGCGTCTGTTGATTGTTTTTCTACTCTATCCGTGTCATAGAGAGTAAGGCTGGAGATTCGGCTCGGATATTCCCTTCTCTGAAAGCTGATCATGAAGTGTCTGTTGACAATAGACCCGAGAACTTTCTGAACTCGCCGAGATCGAACATTTGACTAGTATCGAAAGAGCTCGAGGGCCACGAGTACCACCACTTCGCCATCGACAGATGTTTGTGAATCGATGGATGACCAAAATTGCATTGTCTATTTTCTTTAAGTCTTTTGATTTTTTTATATTACATAAAAACATGTTTTGTATAAATGATTTTAAAGAAAAAACTTGCATCCTGTTTTCCTAGAATTTTTCATTGATGAAGATCATGATTTCATAATATTATTATTACAATGTTTTATTATCATTTATTAATATGATTATAAAAATTAAAAAAATGTGTAAAAGAAAAGCCATACATATTCCTATATGTAATTGATACCATTATGGCATTGCATAAACCTCAATTTTTATTTTTTTGATGCAATAAAACTCTTAAAAATATGATTGAAATTGGATTTAAAAATGATAATACAACATGATAAACTATCATGTCAATAACAACATTGCTATGATTTAATAAATACATGTTTATTCACATATAGTGTTATATAATTGAATAATCGAGATAATTTAGTATGATGTAAACATAGTGATAATTAGATTATTACATAATTTTAAGAAACAATCATTTATGTTCAGTATAAATTTTTGAACTCAATCATCTTCATGTGATAACAATCAAATTTGATGACATATAATATTGATTGTAGTTCAAGATTATTAATCTTTACAATCACTTTAAAAATTTGTCACAAAAAATTATAGGTTCATTTAATTGATTGTAGATAAAACACATGGATTTTTTCTACTACAAGATTCGAAAGCTATCATATAGTTTATTTTAGTTCTCTTCTATAGTGATTTTAAACAAAAGATCCTAAATTTTGATATAAAATAATAAAATTTTAGTATCGATAGATTTTTTCTTTGATATAATTGAAAAATATTCAATATATACTAATAAATTTATAATACATGTTTTTTAATATGAATGTAATTTTTTTTATTCCTTGAAAATTTATTGATTGATTTATTTCTTTAAATATAATGATTCAAAAAATATTTTGAATCATCAGATTTTCAGTTGAAATCAGTTTCGATTAGTCTTAATTGAAAATATTTGAATGTAGTCTCCATTAAAAAATAAATTTCTAAACTTTTGAATTCTACATAGTGGGTATCAAATCATTTAATTCCAAGTTTTTAATGTTTTGATGATTGTTAAAATATATCTCTCATTAAAAGAGTTATGCTTTCAATTTTTAATAAATTATATAAAAAATCACGTATTATAACAAAAAATTGTAGTCAACAGTTAAAAAAATTTTGAGGAGTGCAAAACATAGCTTACTAATCTTAGACTCATCAATGATTTAACTAATTATCAAGTTCTTAACTTCATTAGAAAATTTATTATTCTAGTTCATTTGACTTATTTTACTAAAATATCTGTGCCAAATTACATTGGAGCAGACTTATATGCAGTAGCTATTTTGACCTAATCTAGATATTTTTGTGAATTCAAATACATAAGATTCATTCAATTTGGATTCTACGAAAAAATAAGGATTTTTTATTTTCCTCAGCATTATTAGCTTTATTTACACTTCACACAATTCTTCGATTTGAACTTTGTTGCAAGCAAGACTTTGGTTATATTTGTGTGAACGGAAGTACAAAGTTGATTTAGCTTTTTAGATGATGAACAAAATGGATTCAAATATGAACATGTTCTATTTGTAAAATTATTGCGAGAATGTTGGGCTTACACATGGTTGAACCCAGATTATACATGAATCTCAGAACAAAGAGCCATTCCATGCGAAATTAAACTACTCACTCCTCACTTCGAGTTGTCACTGAGGGGAACCTGAAGGTCAGAGAGACTTGGGAGAATGTTCTAGCTAGAATCGAATCTGCAGTCTCGCATAAGTTGAAATCATGGATAGGACCCGTGTTCCAAAGGCTGGACTTGTGAATCGACAGAAGATCCGTCATGACGAACCGACACCGACTTTGCTGCCCATGCTGACCGACGAGTAATTGTGGACGAGTCACAGATTTTCATCGGTTCATATGTTCCTGATGACCAGGAGTTTTGGGTCCGCCGAATCGTTTGGTGCCCGAAGCCCAGCGTGAGTCCAACTCTTCCAGTTCTGCACATATTGAGTCGTTCCGAATTATGAAAATATCCGTGAACAAGTATTTGTGCACTCCGTTTCCTTTGTATAGAACAGCAGGCAGGAATTTGACGAAGTCGCTTGCAGAAGCTCTGATGAGTGCATGGATGGATTGACCGCTTGCATTTCAGGAGTCTCTGCTGACTGACACTCGATCGGACGCTTTGCAAACTCGGGTGACCTTTGGCACGAAGAGGCTGCAGGAAGGCAGCACACAATTGTGAAAGTGTTCAGCCTCAGCAGTGATTCTGATTCATCTTCGTTGGATCTTCTCGCCTTGACTTGGAGCTCGGAGGCTTGGCACTATGATGGCCTCGAATTGTTCTCGTATGCTGGATGTGGACGAGATCCACGATTTTGACCACCTGGCAGAGGAGATAGTAGAACAGCTCAGTGTACAGCAGAAAAGCGAAAAGGCTGTTCGGGAAGAAGTGAAAAATACCCATCGATTTTTGCAGAAGGTTCCGGTGACCGTTCACGACTGGAAATCAAAATTGTTGGACAAGGGAAAGCAAAAAGTTGAAGAATCTGCTAATGAAGGTAGATATGAGGGAATGAAGAGAATGGCCTTGGCGGGCAAGTCCTCCACTTTTGGTTCCAAAATCAGAACTGAGAAGAAAGCTGATCACGGACCCAACTGGGTGCTGGTGGATCCTTCAGGAAATGCTTGCGACTACAGCAGTGACGATGATGATTAACCTGCTTGCCCTGAGCAACGGACTCCTCACCTAATCTCGTAATGCGATCGACTTGGTCTAACATATTCCCATTTGGCTGTTGGCTTCCACCAACCAAAAACAGGGGGATAACTTTTCAGCAACACCTGCAGATTTGACAATATTTAGTTCCTCAACTGCATCATCGGGAAACGTGGATTTCGAAATATAAATAAAACTTAAGGTTCAAATTGATAACAGTAGAGAAAAAGACGCTCGATCTGGAGAACCTGTTAACGCGAACAATCGACAAACATAAGTGATGATAATGTCAGAGTGGAGGGCGGTATGAATGATGCTCGTACTTCGTAAACTCCCTTCCTGTAGGAGGAGGTCCAAATTCGATCTATCCCAAGTGATTCCTGAGTTTCTCGGTCCGGGATCTGATCCAAGTGCAAGTACTTTATTCCACCCTCAGCTGCCTCATGGAAGCTGTTCCATGCAGGCAATTCCATAATTCCACAAACGATTTGAAAATCCATGTAACGATTTTCAAAGCTAAAGATAGAATGTTACTGGCAGACGGTATGCCCTGATACATCATTTGTATCAGAGCGAATCTTTCTAGGCTAATATGAGCTTGCTCTCATTTCCAATCTTCTGTATATGCACGCTCAATCATTTACTTCATCCCCGACACAGTTGTAGCGTCAAATCCATTATGTCTCTCACCTCAATGTCTATAAAGCAAATAAAACTCCACTGAAAAATGCATGGTGTCATGGGCCAAACCAAAATAACAGTATTGAATGCGGTAAGATATATCAATAATTTTCAACTTTTTTAATTCACTTGATGTCCACTTTGTAGAAACAATTTGACATAATAGAGATGATCCAATTCGAAATTATCATTCAAAGACGCTGAGATAGATATACTGATCTTGATAATCAAGTACAGAAGACTAGTTTTCCTTCTTGTCACATGACGTATGCCTCAAGCAAATCGCTTTTGAGCTAAAATTAGTGGGACTCTCAGCATAGTGATATTTACCCATTGCTATGAGTCAACACAGTACATACATGAAAATGTCTCTCTCTTCTCTCTCTCTCTCTTTTTGCCCTCAAGATTGTGAAGATTGAAAACGCATCATCAAACTATTGTTTCTGATCTGTAAACAAAACACAGAAAAAGAAAGGAAAACTGACCTATAACTTTCTCACATCTTTGACAAAACGAAAGACGGAATGACATGATTTTCGTGACCTTCAGGCAGAATTATCACCACTCAGACTTCATAATCAGATATATAGTTAAGCTAGCTTGAACACGTGAACCGTAGTGGACAAAGAAAATTTGGTATGATAATTAATAGACTCTTGACGTGAGCAACTTGAGACGACAATTACAATGGAAACAAGAAACCAATTAGTCAGTGAGAATGAAAAGATTGGTAATGCATTGAGACAGACATAAGGCTGTAATTGAGATGATCAGATCTGAAGACATCAAGAAAAAGAAATAACTTCAAGTTTCTCTTAACAAGTCAATACGAACATTCAAATCTCCAGTAAGCTACCGCCGTACATTTTGGTAACTATTATAAATAAGATCCTGGCTTATTTTACAACTCGAAAGCAATGATCATTAACACTTACCTCCAAGGTACCACTTACAATAGTTTGTATATATTGTAGTTTTGCTTCTCCAAAGTCGGAGAGGATATGGAGCTCCAAGAAAGAGAATAAACCTATACGTCAACAATGAAGGCTTAGTAATGTATGTTGAGGTTCCCCGAAAGCTTCTTTGAGAACAAACCTAGCTCACTTTATTCGAAACGCTATCAGATATCAGTCGAGGAAAGTTAAGATCGTATGAACTATTGGAAGCAAATCAGCATTAAATATTAGGAACAGAGTTGGTTTCAATTGTATAGGCCTTTTTTGCCCGTTTGTACAAGAAAGAACTATGTCTGTCTTTAGAATCTATCGTTTGGCTTATTACTATGTAGGAGAACGTATCAAGACTGCAAAAAACATTCCTTTGTAAATTCGAAACAACAAAAGAAGCGTATTATACGCATTCAAATCATGATGTAGCTGCTTCAAACTGTTGGTTTCTTCGAGGTTAACATTATCTATCTGCAACATGTTATACATCCAAGATTTGCTCCTTCCTTTCAGAACCCCAACTTATTCTGATACCAAAAAATCGCCTAAGAATATGAAATTCAGAACGTTCTACGTAGTATCTTTGATAGTAATGTCGTCCGTAGAAGGAATAGGGTGCGAGGCTTGGAGATGGTTGTTTCTGGCCATGAGAGAAACTGAGGTTTCTCCAACTGAGAACACCGAATGCATCCACTCCGAAAGGCTCACGTACCAAGAAAGGAGCAAAGCCTGCAGACATGTTCTTTGCCTTCTGCCTCACTATTGACAGGTGAACGGTGTATCGTCTCCAGTTTGCTAGACTTCCACAACAATGGTCCAAAATTTGACCATTTCTTGGTATTCTGGGACATGTATGTAACTTGTAGTTTCCAATATGAAGAGAATCTAAGAGAGCAGAGCATGAAGTATCTTGCTTCATTACATTGCACTTCATGTCAGAATACTGTCAACTCTTCTTTTGATGAGGATTGGAGATTGAACTTTGCTCTCTCATAATTTCACCCCAACGCTGTAATGACTCCGTTTCCTTTTTCCTTTCTTGACAATTTTGACATTTTTCTATTGGCAGAGGGCATCCACCTTCAAAGAGCTTCAATGCCTCCTCCAACTTAGTTCTGGCTTCTTCCAGCACGACTCTGCTCTTCTCATCATGCTCTAGCCATCTATGGCATGGCCTTCCAGATTCCCTTTGTCTTTGTGCCTCTCTATAACTATCATAAGCTCTCTCCTCCTTTTTCCAGTCCCAAAAGCCTCTGCTTCCGGGAGTGGACTCTCTGGACGACTCTGACCTTTCAAAGCTTCTAGTGCTCTCATCTTGATGTCTTGTAAATATATCACAAGACCGAGGCGATTCCGCCTCTTTTCTTGTGGCAGAGATTGCATGACGAAGTTTGGCGGGTTGGGTTCTTGGCTCTGGCCTTCGTAGAGTTCTTCCACTGTCTACTGTCTCATGGTGTTTGAGTCGCTCACAAGGAGGTGTACGCAAAGCGTGAGCTCGTTTTTGTACCGATTGAACATGCAGGTCTTTGGGCGACCGTGATTCTATGGAATCTAGCACCAGCTTATTGTCTTGCTCACTTTTTCTTTGCAGATACACTTCGCTTTTCTCATTGCGACCTACGAATCTCTTACAAGACGGTTTCTTCATCTTATCTTGAGCTCGTCTATGCACTGAATGAATGTGTCGATCTGTTTCTGAACATGACTCTCTTGACTCTTGCTCCAGCTTCAGCTCCTTCTCATGCTTCTTTTTCAAAAATAAATTGCTTTTCTCTTCGTGGCCCACATATCTTTTACAAGGAGACACGATTTGCTGTCGTGATCTTGATCTCGAATAGTGTGAGTCTGGTGAGAACTTTGGTGTGATGGAAACTTCTTGATCCAGCAGCATCTTCTTACTGGCTTCTTCCTTGAATTTGAATCTTTGGCAAAGGGGCCCTTGTCCCGAAGTCCTTGGGGTATTCGGGCAGTACCTTTGATGAGGTGTGTTTGATCTCGAGGCAAAAGCTGTTTCTATTCCACGGTGCACTGTCCTGACAGGTCCAGGGCGTGGAATTTCCTCTTGCACTGAATCTTGATTTGATTTGATCTCTCTCTCATCCTCTTGCCTCTTCCCTCGACGGTGTCTCTCTAGCTTCCGTCGAGGGTCGCTAGTACTTTTGGAAGGGGTCGTGCGTCTGGAACGAATCTCAACATTTCGTGTAAGGTCCCGTCTCTCAGTGTCCATGTTCTTCTCGCCAGGAGTAGGATCCCTTTTCCTTGAAGAAGATACTGCTCTTGCAGGCAAGGCTTTCTTTGGCTCCTCAGCCGTTGATAAGGAAGGCCCTGTCTTCGTATCACGAGGCGTATGTTCAGGTTTCCTCGACGATGATACTGCCCATGATCCTACTTCTGCTTCCTTAGTACCGGATTTGTTGGCATGGTCTTTCTTCTCAGAGTGTGAAGTCTCCCTAGTGTCATTGGAATTCGAATTCACATGTCTTTTCAGCGCCTCCTGATTTGTGAGCTTCCCACGATGCTCTGGAGTTTTTGAAGGGCCAAGACTGGACAAGAAAGCTTGCTTCAGCAATTCCTGATTATTGATGACGCCTCGATCTGCTGAAGCTTTATCTCGATGATTTGACGATATTTGTCTTTTCGATGAGTCTTGATTAGCCAACACGCCGTGGTCTGCTGTCGCTTTCTTCTTAGAAGGAGATGACATCTTCGGCGTCAGTGAATCCTGATTAGTTTCCTTAACATGATGATTGTTTTGAGACTTTTGTTTTGTCCTTGCCAGTCTGTACTGAGCACTATACCCCTCGTCAACATCTTTCTCTTCGGGTCGTTTCCATGATTTGCGAGGATCTGGAATGACGATCTCTGTGACGGGATCGCTGCCACCAATTCTGCGACGAGAACCTCCCGCTTTGGAAGTCGAGTCCAGGAAGTTTTGCTTGTTGACAGAAGAAGACAGCCCGTGCTCCTCACTATTTTTATCCTTGCGATGTCGTCCAGATTGTGTTTCCTGGCTACCTTCTGCCATTCTGTAGTCTTTCCCATCATCCATTCTCGACCTTTCAGCACTCCCTTTCGTTTTCTTAGCGTACTTTTCAACATATTGAGACTGTGCATCCTCTCTACCTTCCCACCCTGTGACTTGATCGTCATCACATCCTGTGGTCCATGCAGTATCTTCTCCTTCTTGTGAATATCTGTCTAGATAGTGAAATGGTGGCTCCTCTGGAGTTTCCAGCATTTCGACGTCTTCCTCCTCATAAACACCAGACCAGCCAGCATCTGACTGCTGAAATACTCTTCTAGGAGTAGCGATACATTTCAAGCTCTCCTTTATTTTTTCATCGTGCACTGACCAAGGAAAGCGATTTCTTTGCAACCCCAATTCTTCACTCATTCCATTTAGTTGATTGAAAATTTTTCTACTCCATTGGGCGCTGTCTACCCTTTCAGCTTCTTCCATTAACTCCTTGTTCCTGTCTTCATGGCCTTTGCATGTTCTGCAGTCCTCTGGGGTCTTCCTCCTTCTTGGACGAGTCTCTAGACAACCCATTGTAAGTTTCCAAAACTGGGCAGGTGTGAGGTTCCTGCGAAGGTTTTCCAAGCCTGCATAACTTTGGCTATCTGAACCTTGATAACTAGAATTCCAGCCAAGTCCACTTTCAGATATTTTATCCGAAAAAGGTGAATCTGAAAGAGTCACTGAAATCTCCTCTTCTCCCTTTCTCAAACTTCGATCATCTTTGCTTCCATGACGTTCGACAGGCCCTCCCTTCCTCTTCATGGTCGACACTTCTCTGAGATCACGCTGGCTGGAGCCTCTTGAACTCCTTGTCTGATTGGTGGAAGAACCTCTGCTCTTAGCCATTATCCTCTCTTTGTTTCCTTCACCTTTCATATGTCCGTCTAGTTGAGAGATTGCTTAGAATAATGTAGATTTCCCCTCCCACCCCTGATTTGGATCTTTCTTCCCACATTCGTAAATCAAGACTCCTTGTTGAAGCCGTGTGTTATATACCATCATACACTTCTCTCCCTTCATGGTAGCAAGTTGTTCAGCAAGCTGCTCATGCCTTTGGACAAAATCATCCGGCCTTCTCTTCTGCACATACCCGTTAGGATGACCATCAATCAGTGTGGTTTGACACTGCTCCCGATGTGTCCTGCTTGTGATGATAGATTGTAGTACTTCCTTCCCCAAGTGCTCTTTATATTGTACAATACAAAGAGCACAAAGAGCAGTATTTTTCCTCTCGGAATCAATGAACTCTGGGGAGATTTTCTGTGTCTGAGGCCCAGCTGCAGACGTGCTATTGACCTTCCATTTACTGCTGAGCTTCAGGATGATCCTCTTTCCGATGATGCACACTACAGATATACAAGATCGGGCACCAAGAGTTTTGATAGAAAAGGAAGCGTCTTTGAAGCGTTTGACTGTTGCACTTGAGGTGATCACCATGAACATGGTCCATCGTAGAAATCAAAGCGATAACTTCGCATAATTAAACCTTTTCTTCTTCACTCGGAAGCCAGCCCGGAGATATGAGCCATTAGAAACAGCGGCGTAGACCTGCGATTCCGGTCACCGAGCATAATTGTTATTAACAAACTTCTCGGTTGTTCAGCTGTACATCCTTGGGTTCCAACCCGAGGTGGCATCCTATTGATATTTTCTTCTTACTTTGACCCTTTGAGACTTACACGTAGACTACTTTGCGTGAGACAACCCAGCAGCTGTCGCATTCCTGCTGGACCGCGATGACCTCAATGCTGTGAAGCTTTTACAGAGGAATGAAAGTCTGAAACGCGGAAGCAAATTATATACTTCATCAGAGATCATATTACACCAACTGAGTGAAAAAAAGATTGTGTAATATCAGTTGAGTGTAAAAAAGATAGTGAAATGTCGTAGCACAGATTCTTTCAACTGTGTAAAATGATAGGTGGATTTCATGCTCTTGTAATAAGGATCAGGTGTACAGGGGCCAATACCTTCGTCATTATTGGCTGCAAGGTTATCTGTTCTTGATGGAATTGCATCATTGCCAATGTGGCCTTCTTGACAAAGAGACACAGAATTCAAAGATTTTCTTTTTGAGCCTGATAAAACCTTCGTGCGCGCAGTCCATTTCGGGTGACTACTGCATAGAACCCTCGCGTCCCTGTCTGCTCCCAGTGACACCATGTCTGCGATCGGGAAAGCCCTGCCTCTGTTCTTGTTCGCTCTTAATTTGAACTCCTTAAAAGTTCTAATCTTCAATGTTGTAAAGTGCACATCCTTTCCCAGTTTAGCGCTCTTCTTCTCAACGTTCTTAGCCCTCACACTCCTGGCCTTTTTATCCTCAAGAAGACCACCTTCGCGAATTCTTTGAGACAAAATTTCTGCAGACCATAAACTTCTGAGAGAGTCGGTTTCGGACCCCACTGCACTCTCAAAAGATACGTCCAATCCTGATTCGTTCTCAAAAAAAAATCCTGCGCTAGCGAAATCATGACGCTTCCATTTTCCAAACATATCTCCACAAACTCTGTCCCAGATATCAACGCTGGGCTTTTCACCCCAAACTGCTCTTCTCTTGTCTTCTTTTAGCTTACATCTCCTACAATAGAAAACCCTTTCTCTGTGCCTGAAACATGATTTTCTCAATTCAAACATGCTTCTACCACAGCGCGAAGGTCGACTAGAAAGTTTCAGATTGGAGTAATAGAGACGAGATTCTGTGCCTGTCATGCGAGCTCGCGACGGGCTATGCATTTGCACAATACGAGAGAGAAGTAGAGAAAATTTCAGCCCACGCAATTAAAAAGAGAGAACGCTTTTTCTCCTCGCCGGGTGTCGGAAAATTACCATTGGGATAATACCATCGCTCTATAGATGGTCAAAAAAGAACAGAATAATCATTTTCAACTTCAAGACTACAGCTCTACAGAACATAAGTACTGTTTTTCCCATCAAAAGATGATTGATCAATTATATCAGGGCTTATGAACTCAGCAAAACATTTGTTACATGGCTGTGTGGATGGCTACAAAACCTGAATTCGACCACCGTTGCAACTCCGATACAACTCTACAGCCGCGTTGAAGTCCCTGTCAATTGTAAATTTCAAAATGGGGCGAAGAGGCGCGTGAGGAGCAATCACCACCTCTGAGAAATCTCCGCTTTGTATTCCTTGGTTCCACCCTGAACTCAGAAAGCTTTGTAATGGGCCCAACGGATCATTGAACAATCGCACCTTGACCTAATCTCCCGTACGTAGATCATACGGAACCAGAGAACGCCAAATCTATCAATGCCATATTGCGACGGAGAGTATCGACACTACTTCCCTCAAGAAAAATGCTTGATGCAGTCTTAGAACAACAACAACAACAACAACAACAAAATTACTCGCACTATTCGATCACCGCAATCCAGACATTTCGGCAACCTGGGGAGCAAGCATCCCTGCCTGAGTCCCAGACAAATCGGTTCCTTTCAATTACTGCACTGACAATGAAGACTACAAAATCACTGACGAGCACATCGTGCAAAAACGGGTCTGGATCGCGAGAGAAGATCTTACTCAAGAATCTACAAATCTTACATGGATGACGTGGATGACCTGCGATGGCAGAGGGTTCGAAGCACGCCAAGAGAATTCCTTCCGCCCTACATCATCGACGCATAGCGTCCCTTCGTCCGATGGTTCGAACCGGACGGTCCTTTGGATCTGAACCGAGCAGAGTCGAGTCCCTCCCTCTCCTGCCCAAACTCGACCGCTGTAAAGTTTGAATTCGATCAACGGGCCATACACGCTGCTGCTGAAAACTGAGTCGAGCAAGCTAAACGCGTTCAAACTTCAAATCCCCGCGCGTGCACATCTGTTAGCCGTTCTGGCGGGAACGGGCACGAGGTCTTTCCTGCGAGAAGTAGCGGGAGCGGAAGCGGGAGCTGTCGAAGTGGCCGGCCTTCTTCTCTTGCTGGGTCTTCTCTAATGGCCCGGATGCATTTTTAGATTTCTCATATCTCTGGCTCCTAATAGTGCACATACAAATTCATCTTGGAGAATATATTGTATATGCACTATTTTGATTTTTTTCCAACTTTCATTCTTCCAATGTACATATGACTTCGAGGAAGCTGGTTGACTGAGAATTTGTATATAACTATAGCCGGATTAGCTAAGTCGGTTAGAATGATAATTTTCAAAGCTTCCATTTATTATTTACTAACACGTTCCGGTTTCATTAGATCTGTATCTCAGAAGTATATTTGCGATTAATATTTTTTTAGATTTTTTCCATACTAGTTGTGGATGAAAAATAATAATCCTTCTAACTACGTTCCATATCTAATCCAAAATGGAGATGTAAAATCATCACATTTTTTTGATTTTACGAGCTCGATTTACATTCTTATAATGAAAAGTTAGGTATAATCGTAGGACCCTACATGTTAAGATTGAAACAGATTAACCTCCCCATATCTAATACTATCCTCTAATTTAATTCCTTACCTCTTCGTTAAATATACAAGAATTGTCAAAATTTTAGTACTGATGGTTTGAAGTGGGACTATATTGCACATACAATATACTGCGAGACCTCGGACCTCCTCTCGCTATCTCATACTCTTTGCAGTCTCCGAGTTGTTCAATCTTGGAAAGATCTAAAATATCTGTTAGGGAAAGAGAGATATTTTAGATATTCAGACTCTAAGCCTACCATGGAACTCGTCGATTGTGCCCGATGGCCACGTTGTCATTTCAAGCGACTAAGCATGCTCGGATTATTTCAATGCACCGCGACTATACTACGTGTAACCATGCGGTTGAACTGGGTAGTCCGTGTGCTCAGAGGAATATGCTGGACACGCGGTAGTCTGTCGTGGTCAGTGCTCGGGAATAATCTATTGTTCCGTAAGTTTATGATCAGAGTGGAGAAGGGCATGGACTGGATCTGGTCGATGAGCAGGGATGCAAAGAGTCTAAACCTGGAGTAAATGACAAAACACTCTTAAGACAGCAAAAGCTGTAACAAGCTGTCAAAAGAAGAGGGACAAAATTGGCGACAAAGCACGAGCTTATGATCATCAAATGGAGAAAAGTACGCAGCTGTCGAGGTTTGTCACACTTGGATTTTTGGAAGCAATGTGAATAATGCTGTCTGCAGCCCGGCACGCGCAATAGAGCCCAATATCACGCCTGACACAAGTTAGATAATCATATGTATCTAGTAACCTCAATGTCTCTCATCAATCTAATACGATGGTTTTGATCAGCAGCACAGTCGAGAGTCTTGTGAAAATCCAGACAGGTGTTGCTGGTCGCTGCAACAATGATGTGCAACATCGGCAAATTCTCCAAGAGTTGGAGTCTTTGCAATGTGGGTGATTTTCAGCACTGGCGTGTAGGATTCCAATGTCGTCTGCTAAAATTTGAATTCAGGAAGATTCAACCTGCAGTTGGGAGGACAGACTTCATACTTTGGGAAGTCCAACTCACAAAGCTTTCCCCACATCAACTAGCTCGTTGTAGAAACATGATTCACATTGTAAAACCGCAACTCAAAAGCTTGCATACCGTTCGGTGTGGCATGTCTCAAGGGCAAAGCAGAACCTTCAAAGGAAGTCAATACTTTCACTTGAGTGGAACAAAAGAAAAGATCTGGGAGAGGTTGTTCTTTTTCAGGTGGGTTCCAACTTCCAAGGTACGATGAGCGATCTCATTGTCTGGGAGTTGCTTTTTCATCCACTTCGCTGATCTGTTTATACTTCTTCCTCTTACTATTGAGGGCAAATGTTTCCTCCAAATAATCTCTAAATTTCTACTAAAATGGCAGGGATGGACTCAGGATCATCCCAAAGTTGCACTTACACTCGACGAAGGACAAAGTTTAGCGGAGTGACAGAACGAACATTCTGGAACATGTGAACATGTTCTTCAAAGTGCTCTTTCAACCTGAATATTTAGGTGGTTGTTGACTATAGTCTCCGTCAAGCGAGAACGATGATCTCTGAGCTAACAGCCTCCATTGGAGCTTGGCAGTCGTAGATTACATCTTGTCTTTCAGTCTCTCGCTTGCTGTGGAGCCCGTCAGTAAACTGGACGCTTCACATCCCTGCACAAGAGCGTCGAAAGTACAAACTTTTAGACGTGCCAAGGACCATGGACAACAGTTACTTACCCTGTCACTCTTGCTTTCGCTTTGGAAGGTGAAGAGTCGTCATTTCGTAGCTGGATCACCACAATAATTATAAGATCTCCCCTTCAAGGAACATGCTCAGCGTATTTCATTCGAAGAAAGTGGAATCGGGAGAAATACTCCACGACAGATGGAAGAAGACGTGCAGTCGAAATGGAAATGAATTATGTTGTGACATGATGCATTAACACGGGATTTCACATCGCGAGTTCTCAAGAAAGTTCTCTCTCAACCCGAAGCCCCAGAGCTTCAAAACTTCCGGATTGAAAGTAGGGAGGGAACACAATACGCGGAAGTCCATGTGCACAGTGAGAGGGTGTTGTGAAGTCTTTCTGGAAACTTGGTAACCGTTGGTGGTGTCATGTCCCTCTCTCTTTGCACTGAAAATTAAATCGCACCATATTTTCACTGTGCTTGCGCACCATCGTAACATTCCCTTCGGTCGAATGAGCGTAAGAGTCTCTATTCCGCATAGCTTCGTCACATGATCAGTGAGTGCCTCCATTGTGCCCATTTTCTCGTGATTCTTGTATTAGTTCTCTTTCTCGTCCGCAATTCTGACTGATCGAATTCATGAAGACTTTGACCAGGCGTGGAGTTTGGCCAGCGACTGAATGACTTAGACAATGTCAGTGCATTTCGTTGCAAGAGTCTCCATACCCGTCGGTGCAGACATTAATCTTGTTAGGGCCTAGATGCTTACCGAGATCTCCGAAGGGAAACAACACTGTCCAGACAGGCAGAAGTTGCAAGCGTCACATAGCGCAGACATATAAAGGCACAAGCTGCAGAACTCGAAGCACTGCTTATCTCACCACCCAGTCGATAGGTTTAGCCGCCATAATCATTCCAGCGTCCGCAATGAAACCAGCCGTGTCACTCAACTTTGGCGCACGAAAGCTTTCTCTGGAATCCTTGAATTCGATGATGAGAAGAGAGTTGGTGAGAAGTGCATGGCCCAATCAGCCGACTAATGTTCTCCCAAGCATACAAGACCTTTGTAATCAGCTTTATTCTCGTGCTGGCGATGCCAAAGCCATCGCACACGGCTTTCATCGCCGACGAGCTGAAGTTCGTCGGGGCCACAGTCACCACGGCGGCCCAAAAGCAGATACCGCCGGCACCGGGACGGTCAAACGCATTGATGCCCAAGTCTGGATGCAGCTCAGACCTTCTGCCCCGAACCCTCGCTCCTCGGCAGGAAAAACAAAAGTCAAAGTGACAATGGTCTTCCAGAGTCTTGCGCCGCTGAAGAAGGGTCGGATTTCTCGGAGCGTTGCTCTCTTAAATTACGCGGGACAAAGTTCAAGACGATGGACTCGGTTCGTTATCCGATCCTTAATAATTGCTCAGTTTCTCGCGCTTTGCTCGACCTTGTTCATCCAGCTTATCCTCATAATTCGTTTCCGGCTGGTTTCCACGGCGTTACTCTCTTTATTCCCGTATCTATTTTATCTGAAATGATGTATCATCCGCGGATGCTGGGATGATACTTCACGGCCTTATCTTGGGCTCATTCTCCATCCGCACATTGCGTTTAGACAGCTACACGGATTTATGTCGATGTTTATTTATTTCTGCCGAAACATGAAGCGTTCTGAGACTTGTGGTGAGCACGTGTTGAAAGTGCATAAACTCAACCGTATCTATTACACAACTTACATGCAAACTCTTGGTTTGCAAGGATTTTGTAAGCGATAAGTCTGATATCAGTCAAAACCCACTTTATAACATGTTGAGAAGGTCAATAAACATAAGATTTGGGTTATTTATCGCTTCACAATGTAATCTAAATTTCAAAGTATCTAGGTCACGAAAACAACGGTTAACTTTACTTAGATTATTTTGCATTTCTTGATTGGATGATTTTTCTAAACAGAGCTGACATTTTCAAAGAAATGTCTTGTTTAGAAGTTTAAGCTGCGTCATAGAAAACCCCTATGGTAGACTTCATTAAAAGTGGCATTTGCCACTTTTTCGAACATTTCTTTAATTGTGGCACCCAAAAATTCTTAAAAGTGGCATGTGTGGCATTTGCGTTGACAAACTTTTGTGACAGTCTTGAAACCATAAGAGATTGAGCTTATTTCACGAGAAAGCCCCTATTGTAGACCTCATTAAAAGTGGCATTTGCCACTTTTTCTGTTAATTGTGGCACCCAGAAATTCTTAAAAGTTTCATATGTGGCATTTGCATTGACAAACTTTTGTGACAGTCTTGAAACCATAAGAGATTGAGCTTATTTCAAGAGAAAGTCAGGCAGGGCTGGTTCTATGTTGTGGCTAACTTAGGTTCCGCCCTCATGTTATGTTCAAGGGACACCTAAAGCCATCTAAAGCTAATGAGAATTTAGAAGATTTTATTAACAGGCGGGATGATTATTCACCTTGAGTATACTCAAATCACAAAGAGCTAGTACTTTTTAGAATAAATGAGTTCGAGGTTTCTCATACTAATTCCATATTAGACTTCAACTGAATAGTGACAACTTTCAAATTCTACGAGACGTGAATTGAATTACTCCTCAAAACCTCAGCTCAAGATGAGTAAAATCACTTCTCTTCAATTTTCGTATTGGAGAAAAATTTGGTTTCATGACCAAAATATTCTTGCATTAGAGTTTTAGAACAACTTTGCGGTGTATGTAACACTATTTTCATTCTATTTTTACATCCATCAGTTGATCATTCGTTACTTTGATTTCTATCCACAATATAAGGTTCAATATACAATTTATATTTCAAAAAGATATATACATGGATTTTCTTTCCATTCACTTGCAGCATACTGCCGGCAATGCGGTCTAATGTTTGCTTGGTTGGGAGGATAACATTATTCCGTTGTGAGCGGCACACTCTTAAAATTTACGCAATGCTTGCAAAATTTTAAAAATCTACATCGTAAAGCAACCAAAGAGTCACTCTAGAAAAAGTCTTTATTGTGGCAAAGGTGACATTTTTCTAATAAAATACCAATTTCAATGAGGTCAATTCAAATCTTGATAAAATAAGACTTCTTACCTTATTGATGTCTCGGATAAATATTTTTAATAATGATCATTGATCTGAAATTAAGCTTGAATTAATTTTTTGATGATCATTCGTCTCACACCGTTAATGATCTCAAACATGATTATGAATCAAAATTTTATAAAATCTTTATATTCAAAATAAACCATGAGAAATTTCCATCTGTATTATACACAAAACCTGCTAGTATGGAATAGATGACTTGCGAAAACAAAAGTCAACGGGAAAATTGGACCCGTGGACGGCACTGCAACCCCACCGTCAATGATGTTCCAATACTATTTGGATATAGTTGGAGTAGAACATAAAATCACTGCAAGCCCACTGTCAATGATGTTCCAATACTATCTGGATATAGTTCGAGTAGAACATAAAATCACGGCAAGACCATATCCAGAGTAATTCAGACTCATGGTGTTAGTCATTTTTTTAGACACGGTTGCGAACGAGTTGCCAGAATACTCTGGCCCGACAGTGGCGGACACTCCCCACTCTATAGAGCAAATCAGTAGGTTATAAGAACATGGCTTACTAGTGCGTGGAATGGGGTCCCATCCGGTAGAATGAAACCGGTTGGGTCTCATCAAAACGATTGAGTTTCGAAATAATTTACTCTTGTTTTTATCAAAGATTACCAAATTGTTTTCGGCATTTGAAAAGAAGTGATGTTAGAGTAGCACCAGAAGTACCTTGTGAAAATGGAATATCCACGAGGCATGTAAAATTAAACTGGTTATAAGTTTTGATAGCAGTTCTACAAATAACCATACCTAACGACTCCTTTAGTCAGAAATGAAGGGCTCCCTCATGGACCAATCTCCAAGCAAGATATTGAGGCAAACAAGGTAGACCTCTCGTTCATCTTCCTATCATATACTTAGACCAAACGCAATACTTCAGTATAAAGTGAAATTATATCTACGGTAGCGAATCGAGTGTTGTAACTAGGGCGTTATCCAAAATTTCTTCAACTTTCCTGGAACCTTTTTTTTTTCGGTGTTACCATCAAGTTAAGAATACCATTCACATTCTATTTAATTATGTTCGTCGCTGATTTGCTAAAGGGACACACGTTTAGATCAAGACTAGATAAATGCTACAAATTACGGTAGAGGGTTCCGCGTCATGTTCTTGTTCCTTCTGTCGGTTGCGTCGTTGCCCAACTTTATTGAAGATTGATATACGTTCCCCCATAAAATGAAAAGAAGAAACCTCGGTCCACGTTTTTGGATCTAACAATTTCCTCACGGATGTGTAGCATAGATACAATATTTTGGCATGCCGCTGAGTTGTGGAACTGAGGTACATAGATATAATACTGGCCGATCACCGACCCAAGGTGAGCTGATAACGGTAATGTGGCGAACTGTGATATCATCTTCTTGCTCAAATGGGCTGATAGTCAGACAACGACAAGCTTTCCTTGTACTGGGGGGAAATGTGTACAATCTGGAAGGGACCGATGTATATAAACAGCTTGAGTCAATAGACGTACTTCATGGCGTGTTCAGACAAGTACAACTCGAGTAGGATAGATTGATTGTGGACTTTTCTCAGCTCAAGCTATATGGGCCCATATCCCAAGTTCAACTCCCGTGTTTGACAATATGTCATCGTTACATCATGCGGACTGGACATTAGTGAAATTTCAGCTTGGAGTATCAGGTTGCAATTGCAGCTCACGGTCTAGATTCCAACACTGAATTCACGTGACCTCTTCGACTTGCCAAACTGGAGATTACGGTATTAGTACATAATTCCCCATCACGAAAGAATTCAGCTTAAAGAAACTAAAAATGTCTGATGTCTCACGTTCGATGCCCCGTACTCACAGCTTCCAAGGTGCTAGAGTACCAATGCCTGTGCAGATTTTCTCAGTCCTGGACTGAAGCAGTCAGACAGGCGAGGCTGCTTGTAGCCTTTTGCTGATTTCCTAGACTCTAATCAAAAGCATCTATGTGGATTTTCTTCCAGACTGTCAACTCTTTCTGTCCATTTTCCCGTTCGCCACTAACCCTGAACTATTACAGCGTTGCTAATATTGAAACCCTGTTACGGGTATTGCCCTCTAGGACGCTGAGAAGACGTAAGAATGTGTTGTGTGAGGAGTTTTTCGTTGAGATGTAAGGTCTACGTCACACAGATGAGGAGATGTCATAAAACATATTGGTTACAAGGATGTGAAACCTTGAAACCAATTATGGACGAGTCTCAGACGATTTACAGATGTCTGAAAGTCCAGTGACAGAGTACCGGACAAATGATTATTCGAGTGCGCAAGTACCGAGGAATTCTTCACTGACATGCGAAGTCATGCAGCGCACCTCGAGCACGAAGAATGAGTTCTCTAGTGCACACAAGTATTTCAAGAGCAGAGCGAGCCTGCTGGAGTTCGATATGAATATCATGTCAGAGTTGCTCGCTTTTCAGTTGCATATTTTACAGGTTGTAGGTCCACTTTCTTCTGCTTCTTTCTCCCTTATAGGTTCTTTCATTACCTCTCCGCCCTTGTTTTGAATTTCGTGGAGAATCATCAAATAGTTTTGAAGTATCTTTCTATAACACTGCAAGTCTGTAGGCAGTGCGTTGGCCCTAGCAATTGACGGGCTGTTGACTTTTGAACCTCCTGACGTGTGAGTCGTAAAGTCGTAGCAGTCACCTAGTCTAAACATCTGACCACTGTCATCCTGAACAGGTCCGGTTGGAGACCTCGGCAGGATACAGTTACATCATCCTGCACACCAAAAGTGCGGGTTAACTCTCTAAGCACGCTGCCGGCATTCTATATCTGTCAGACATGTTTCTTCAGATCAAGACTTCGTTTCAACTCAAAAGATCTCGGTTATTCCGAGGGCACTTTTTCTTTCCGACACTATATTTGCCCAACACGAGGACAGAGGAGACACTGTCTTTCTCAGGTTCTTTGCTTTCCTGAGTGTCACAGCGCAAGCATGCAGACGCAATTTCACGCCAGGTTACTCTAGAATCTCATGCAACCTAGTCCTGCAGGAAGCAAAGCAAGATGATGACTTCTTATAAAAGAAAAGACATCTCAACCTCAGTCAAGCTCGAGGGAAATAGAATAAGCTAGATTGTTTAAAGTACTTGACGGTGTCCTTCCTCCCGAGAAAACCAAAGCTCTTAGCACGTAATTAGCAAAGCACCCGTAGCTCACCGAATGGCGTCGGCAACTCGTTTAGCCACAGACTGTACAACAAGTATAACAACACCTTCAGCAAGCGCTGGCCGGGCTCTTTTCATCGTGGTCCAAGTCAACGTCGCAGTCCACAGCGTCCCCTCTTTTGCACGTGATTAAAGCGTGGCCAATATTACAGATGTAATGATGTGCATCTGCGTTCCAGTAATTCGAGTCCACTGCAACGCACAGCCGCCTCGCTCCGTTGAAATAATCCACGGCGGACGCATGACCTTGTAATTCGCGCATCGATAGGCCGATTATTTTTTCCCGACGGCGTCGCGGGAGGACCGAATCCGTTCTCTCGAAGATCACGTCCTGCACGGCGCTCCGTCGCGGATCGTTGCCCCGTCACCGGGCAGTCGACCGGCTCACCGTCCGTTGCAGTAACCGGCGAAGCCCGGTTGGAAGCCGATGTTAGACCCGCTCCGGCTCCCGTTGGGATACCCGCCGGAGAGAACCGGGGCCCGGGGAGGGCAGCACATTACTGCACGTACCAGAACCTTACGAGCGCAGTTGTGGCGGAGTACGGGGACGATAACCGTAGGATTCATATCTGACTGGCGACGGAGTGAATACTACTACCCCGGGAATCCGATCAACTGTCTTCCGGGTTCCGGGCTGAGAACTCTGACCACCAGATCGAGTCGCAGTGACCGGGAGATAATAATCTCGAGGGACCGATTGTCAGACACAGCGCTCAGGCTCGTGAGAGCAGCAATAAAAGAGATGCTCGTGGGTGCTCTGAATCGTTCTGAGACTGACTTGGCGATTCTGTGCTTCGTTCGGCCTCGCATTTGCAGAGGGTGCAGAGCTGTAGGGGAGCTATTCTGCAATCAATTCGCCCATCTACGTGGGCGGGCTATGATGGACGGAGGATTGATGGGCTAGAGAGAAGCCCATCGAGTGAGAAGTGAGAAGTGAGGAGCAGGAGCTCGGTGAATGTTCGAAGAAGCTGCCGTATTTGACGCATGCATGCCACTGCTTCTCGCTCTGTACAAGAAGTCATCGAGTGCGGAGCTTCCCAGCCGAGGGAGGAGGACCGGTAGTGGACTCTATCACTCTTCGGTTCAGCCGGATGTACTGACTGATTGTTGGTCAGCTGCTAGCCGAGGTGGTGTTGGTGTGGGTGCCGGTGGGCTTTGGGATGTCCACTGGAGTGAAGGACTGCGAGTGAGAGCGAGCGAGTGGACTAGTGGGCGAAGTGCAGCGTGACGAGGAGTGGAACCATTCATTGATGCTCGACTTGAAGCCGAGCATCAGCTGGCCTGCTGTCCGAGTTCCGAAGCCGACCTGATGTCACTGTGCTCAACGAGTTGCGAAGCACGTCTGACACTGAGACGAGCCCGCAGGTAGGGAACTCGAGCAGCCGCTCGACTAGGCCTCCGCTCTTTAGCAGAGTGTGGTCTGGTGGGATACATATCCGCATCCTCTCGCTTGACACGTGAACATGGCGTCAGTGTCCACAACTTGTTCCATCTAGGTGCTCGGAGTAGAAGCTTTCGAACTAGTAGGAATTATGACGAACCATGAAGAATTAGGTGCACTTTTACGAGCGGTAGTCGATGAATGAATACGGTCGTAGTTGCCAGCAGCCTATATGTCGCTTATCTCGTATTCGCCGCTGGTGAAGGCCTTGCATGTGGATTTCAACTGCATTACAGCGTCTGGTAAATCTATACATTCTTCTTCTTTTCGAGTTTAGCCACAGTAGAAGATCAGACGCCGGGATTGTCAGTCACTCTTTGGGTAAATCATCTCGATCTGCACACATTGCCAGAACGGCATGCCTACGCGCTGTCTCCGGAATCGAGTTTCAGATTCTAATCTAATTCATCTTTTGCTGTCTTCTCCTGCAGGGTGCTCTGAGATCTCCACACTAACCGCATGGTGATGTAACGGGAGAGTGAATCTTCTGCTCAGGAAACATGTAAACGGGCTCATTTGTTAGCAGGACATTTTAAAGATTTGAACTTCAACCGAAAAGCTTCACCGTCGTTTCCGACAATGTAGGCAATTCCTGCCACATCGCTGCACGAGGAGACGAGTCCGAGCTCGGACCAGAAGCTGGAGGTCCGACACCTGACAAGCATGTAATACTCTCGAGCCTCCGAAATTCATCCGGTCTTTGCAGACGACGCTGCATCGTCCACTTCGCAGTGAAGCATTGCGGACGGGGAAGGATCCGAAGGAACTCCGGATCAGCAGGTTTTCGTCGTCTCCGAAGCAGACGCTGAGGTCTGACCGCAGCTCAGGATGGCTCATCACCAGCACGAGAACAACGTCCGGCCTCAGGATGGCACTGGCGGCGGATACGACGAAGAAGCTCAGAACGGACACCACGACGCCGCAGCGGCGAAGAAAAATTCGCTCGGGCAGTGTTTCGAAGCGTCGCCATTCGCATCGGAGCCAGTCCTCGAGTCCGAAAGGAAGCTGTCGTGGGTGCCGAAGCTGCCCCACACTGAAATCCTCCGAAAGGTAAAGAAAGCTGCCATTCCTCGCTCATCGTCCCGCCTCGTCCTTCTGGCCTGCCTGCCTCATTGGGCTCGTGCTCTGATCGCGGCCGCGGCCGACATTGGTCTTCTCCGCCGCTTTCCATGCCCCGAATGTCGTCTCGCGCATGCGCGTGCGTGACTCCAGCGCCATTTTCTCGGTGTGCAGTATTTTTAGATTGCTCCGTCTGTCTTGCATCTCTCTCCCTCTCTCTTACAAGAAGATCCAAAATTGGCCAACTGCTCGGCCTGTTCAGACGATCCCTTCTCACTTCTTGGTCGGCAGCGCCATGAAGCGAAAGGTCCGTCCGGGGGGGAGTCGAGAGATGGCGAATTGGCACGAGGAGGTGGCCCTTTTGCTGGGCTGAAGTCAGTTTCCAGACTGCCCTCCTTTTTCCCATCTGACTGCGTGGAGTGGCGTGGCCTGTGCAATGTGCTGGATGGCAGATCGTCGCAGAGATGATCAGCACCTACATCGTAGTCTTCTCAGGGTGCGCTGCGGCGATGGTCGACGCTACGAGCAATGGACAAGTGACTCATCTCGGGGTGTCCGCAGCGTTTGGCCTCGTGGTGATGATCATGATCTACGCAGTGGGCCACATTTCTGGCGCCCACATGAACCCGGCTGTCACTCTGGCCTTCGCTACCGTGCGGCATTTTCCTTGGGGCCAGGTGCGTTCCTCTTCCTTTAGCTCGCCCTCACTGTTCCCAGTGGCGCCGCGAGGAAGGCAGGTGTCAACACTCGGTTGGATTTGAGAGCCTGCTCATTTGCCGAGTCTTGAATTTCTCACGTATGGATTCGGTTGGTTCTTTGGTTTGAAGAGAGGTATTAGAGGCTGCTATTTGTGACTTCACGTCAAATTAGGCGACATTTCGATGATCTGGTCATTTTGCCGTGCTGGTGCAATTTGTCGTTCGAAACATGCTGAGGTTGGAGTCATGAATGGGGATGATGCAGGTGCCGCTCTACATAGGCGCCCAATGCGCAGCTGCAATTTGCGCCTCGTTCTCTCTCAGGCTCATTTTTGACAACGTCGCAGGGCTCGGGGCAACCATTCCTGCCGGAAGTGCTGCGCAGTCGTTCGCACTCGAGATTATCATCACATTCATTCTCATGTTTGTGGTAGCAGCGGTTGCAACCGACTCACGTGCTGTGAGTGAAACATACCAGCTCCAGCTTTGCTTTTGAATGCTCGCAGAGTAGATTTATTTGTGAGGCACAAGTCTCGTGAGTACGGTCTGGAGATGCGCCAGAGGGTCAGTCAGCTCGCACAACACGTCCAGTAGAGAATGCATGCCCATTTGCAATGCTCACGGATCGCACTCACGGGCCTCCTGACCGACCGACCGACCTCCTGTTGAAATGCCAGCGAGAGCTCTGGAACTGATGGGTGTCACGTTTCGATTTGTCAGGTCGGAGAGTTGGCTGGAATCGCCGTTGGCTCAGCGGTTGCATTGAATGCCATTCTCGCAGGGTAATTTCCCGTCCCCCGTAAAAACCTCTATCGAAATTCGTTGCCAACTAGGAGTTTGTTGTTGCTATGGGCTGACAGAAGTTTCGCCCCACGCACGAGATGATAACAGAGTTGCGCGCACGAATGCAGGCCGATATCAGGGGCATCGATGAACCCGGCGAGGAGCCTCGGGCCCGCAATCGCCGGCAACAATTACACACATATCTGGGTCTACATCGTCGGCCCCGTCTTGGGAGCGATCTTCGGTGCCTGGGGCTACGCCCTCATCAGAGGCTCAGAACCCACGCCAGCGGAGCTCGAGCACCTGAAGAAGAGCAAGAGCTTGAAACGCTGATCGATCTTATCTACCGCCGACGTCTTCGCCGACCTCGTGTCTGGCTCGGAGCAGATCGCTCGTCAAATCTCGAGGATTCGCATCCGAAGCTGGATAGCAAGCGCAACGCGCCGTGCTCCCCATTGTATAGTATTGTAGTCCGGCCAGGCCGTATAATACGTAGGAGAAGCGCTTTAACCTACGGTACTAGTAATTTGTGATTCCAGATATACGTAGCTAGCGAGGCTTTCAGACAGACCAGCGCATCCGTCGTACCAGGGAGGGACAGATGGAGCGCAGCCGTAGAAGCTCTGTTCCTTCCAAGGCCTGCCGGCTGGTCCCTATGGCGGACTCCTCCCGTTAGTTGTATACAGTAGAGGGTACCCTGTAGTACGTGCACAGGTACGGTGGCCGCTGTTTTTCTTCTGGCGACCATCCCCTTCACTTCTCTTGAATTCGTGATCCATCCATCTCCATCGATTAATGGCAAGAGATGTCTTCCTCCACCTCCACCTTCACTTGCACTATGGCGGTCGGGCGTTTCAACTTTCTCCCCTGACGGGTGGTACTATATTGATCGATCTATGCACCGGATTGCCGTTCGTGCGACTTTCGTGTCCGTGCCTGTGCATTTGCCGAGTCTGTTCGTATTCCCCTGCGCTTCTGTGGCCATTCCGGCCTTCTCAACAACTCTGTTAACTCCTTCCGGCGTCAGTTTCCACATCGTGCTCGCTCGTGACCAACAGGGTGCTCTCGGAGTTCTCGTTCTCGGGTACGGCCCGTGTGGGAATCAATGCCACAACACACAACGTCCTGTGAGTGAGTGCACACCGTATGCCTTTTCCCCCCGATTGACCCACATCGCGTTTGCGTAGTTTCTCAGCGGTCGCTTCCCACACATTTTCGGCTCTCACACGTCTCCCTGAGAAGATACAGTCGCATTTCTTCTCTCAATATTGTTCCTGCCAAACTGGAATGAATGCACGCTTATGTGATCTTATGCAACCCAACAACGAGAATAGAGTACACTCTCTTCCCATCTGGAAACTGCTGACCATGGAAGGGACTGACTTGAATTAGAAAACTATTGAAATTGTGACTCTATTTTCAAGTGCACCAATAGAAAAACTGACAATTCCAGCAAAAATATGAGAAAGATGAATTGACGATGATGATCACATCATATTTTCTTTGTACGCTAATTACTTGACGTAAGCTCTTATTAGTAAGATGAACATTTGATCAATGACTGCCGCCTGAAGAGAACATTCAACAAATAGTCTGCATCTCATTTGCGTTTATATACTTCTCAATAAGATATAAGTACGATTATCTAACTCTAGTTTATTCCCATAGTGAACAGTTTAGTGTGCGTCAACTACTTGATGTAAATAATGATCACTAGTGTGTCTGAAAAGTCAGGTCATGTAATACTCTCTTCGAACACTAAGGGGAGCAGTGATTTTCAAATTACTGTAATCATACGAACAGTGATCTTGCTCTTCGTTGTTTACTTTCTTAAAAATATCATCAGTAATCACCTGTATTTACCAGCTGGAGTCCTTTGCTGATTTAAATATTAAAATACGTCATGTGTTCATATATTAGTACTGTACCTCATGATATTCAGACACCAATATTATAGAGAGAGGTAAGTCATAGTTTGATATAAGAAATTTCGTGTAGAACTTTCAGAGTTTAGCTCATATGTCGCAATAGCTGCAACAAGGAGTTGTATATACACGTCATATTTCTGCACAATTCATTCAAGAGCTAGAGAAAATGATACTTGAATTGAACTGTATAATGTGCCAACTAAGTCATTAGTTACATCATACACTTCTTGTCTTTGGGATAATCATCATGTACCAACCTTTTTGAAGTGGTATTAGTTTGTATGTTATATAGAGGATCTGTATGGTGGATTTCCCTCAAAAATTTGAATATATATATATATATATATATATATATATATCTCATCAACTATGAAAAGAAGAATCAAATCTTAATTAGTCATTTTCGATTATTTGTCAAGACTTTCTTCGACAATTAGGGAACGATAATGAGAGCACACGTCATTTGTCTAGACAAAATTTTTTCTCTTCATATCGTTTAGAGCCTAGAGCATGCGGAACCCCACTCCTAACCACTCCTCACATATGATGCTTAAAACACTTCGAATTCACAAGTTGCTGGGTGGATGATCTCGGATGGCTGCTGGAGCAATTGTACACTGAAAGGTGAAAACTCAGCGCGTTTATGGAAGTAGGTTTCACCTTTTACACGCTCTCCATCCTTAATTGGACCCGAGTCACATCAAACATCAGGGCTGCCCTGGATATGCCCGGGCCGGATAATCTACCACAAGATATGACCTCTACCAGTAAAGTATGCTACCCATCGGATTAGATTTTCTTGGTATGAGATACCATCATTCATTCTTACTGTTAGTCCAGACTGTCTTCAACTCTGACACTGAGACCACTTGAGAGGATCCCAAATCCACTCCACAGGCGAACAATAGTCGTGCAGGAGTCTGAGGATCGATGAAAGACATCCCGGTTCCAATCGCATAGGAAGACTCGTGTCGAGCTAGAGCTCCACTTACCAATATACGGTGTCTGGGAAGGAATTCTGGGTACAAAGGGTTATGTTGTACATTGCCAGGACATGCACAGAAGTGAGAATAAAAGAGAAAAACCCCGAAGCGGTGCCGGTTCCGAAAGCTCCAAAACGCCGGAAGCTCACGAGCCTTGAAGTAGCCATGCTCCTCAAAGTGTACGCCACCTACTCGAGCAAGCACTCGCCTCAACTCCAGCAGAAGCCGGGACAAAATGTCCAGCTTCGGCTGGCAAGCAGTACAGCATTAGTGTGCCGGCAGTAACACCACCAGCTGGGCGATCACGCACAGAGCGAAACCTGGAGAGGATCCGGGGCTTTGAAGTGGATGCGTGCAGGTGTCACAGTGGCTGCATGAGAGGAAATTATTTCCAAGCCACTGATCCCGACTCCCAACACCGACCCTGGTCTTCGGTGTGGACTCCCGCAGACCATTCGTGCTTTTCTACACGTAGTGACAGGACGGAAGAAGGATGGTCGAGGCATAGGAATAGAAAGTTCAAGCCCCAAGGTTCTTCAGCTAGGTGCTACTCTGCTGACACGGTTGACCCCCACGCTACAATGCACTCCCACTTCCTTGTGAGCAAAGAGCGTGGGAGCACAAATGATGTGCATGTCTCTAGGCCTACGGACTTGATATGAATCCAGGAGACAAGAAGTTGACCTACTGAGTGGGGTTTTAATGTTTTCTAGTACCGGGACGATACATGTCCATTGCTTTAGAAGGACCACCGCTCGATCCACGTCTTGTCTTCATTGCGCCCGAGTCGTATGAGGTCAAACCCTACGTGGATACGGTGCTATCTCGATGGACTGAGATCACTGGATCCTTTACTCTCTCTTTGACATAGATTTTTTACTCTCTGCTGAATGGTTCCAAACACATTCGAACGTTACCAAATATTTTACATATTCAAGAATAACCTTCTTTATGGACACCGTAAGACTAGGATTTCTACCATATTCTAGTTAAAAGTTACGGTGTTCGGATACGTCACTTTAGGATAACCATGCTGGATTCTTTATTCGTAAAGTTATATATATATAGTAATTATTGTTAAGTTAAATGTTCAAAGGTTTCAACATCATTGGTCTTAGAAAAATTTAATTTTTTATTTCATGCACTCCATGAAAATGTAACATGGATTTTTTCTAGAACTCTGAACAGGTTGTCACATGATTATTTTCACAGTTATGTCAGATCGATCTTCATGCGTATATGAGTAAGTATATATATATCTATATCTATATCTCTGGTTATAGATCAATTACTTTTGAATTAAACAAAATTTAGAATTTACAAAATACAACGGACAAGATAACATGCAGCATGAAGAATACAAATTCTGCGATTGAAAAGTTGTTCAATTTTTTGTTAAGAACCTTAAGAGACTTGTACTTAATCAGACGAGCGGTTTGTTTTTCACTCTAAGTGAAGCGAGGTTTTGGACTTAGTCTTTGGTTTGTGTTATTGTGTTACAGTTTTGACTTTGATTGATCATTTTTTTTATTGGTATGTATGTGATTTATGCAGGTTAAACTGATACAATATTGTATAAATACAATATCAAAGTAGTCAAAGAGAAAAATATGCAGATGAGATGAAATGCAATTGAAAAAGGAACTTCGAATTAGCAAAATTGAAATTGGGATATGGAGATCAAAATTTTAAAGTTAAAATATGAAATAAATTACTGAAAAATGATGTCTCCTTCCGAGATCAAATGTTTCATAGTTTTATATATTATAGTAAAAATCATTGATGTTTTGGCAAAATGTATTCAAAATCTTGCTTTCAACTTTTTGATCACATCTGGATCAAACTTAAGACTCAAAAGTAGTCTGGAATTATATCTCAATAAGCTTAATCTAGTCATGATTTTTTTCATCTTCAATGAAAATCAAAATTCTTTGCATCAACAATTTGGATTTTAACATCATTATACAAAATGTAACTGAATTAGATTTTATTTTTATCATAATTAATTATATATTTTGTTTTATTTTTTTGTAATAGGTCAATATTTTCAATCTAAAACTAATAGATAATGATTTGTTTCAAACTAAATGTTGTTCATTCATCTCTAGTGAATTAAACATTCATTCCATGAAGTTTTGGCCACATACAAAGATAATCCATTGTCACCTGTTACTGCTTTTCATTTACTTTGAACCAAGTACAATATAAAAACAAGCCGCAACTAGTTTATTTTAACACTTGGATGTCGAATAAGGTTATTACTATATACTATTATTTTGTTTATTTTTTCATATGATTGTATGTTTAATTTATCGCTCATGCAATTAAATATGCTAAAAGATCGTGACAACCTCATTTCTAGCTTCAACAGTAACTTTTTTTGACATAGCATTCATAAAAAATCCTTCATCTATCAAAACATGCAAAATATTATGTATTCAAATATATATTTTAATCTTCAAATCATAAAAACATGTCTTCAGAGCATAAACATAGATCAATTTCAACATTTTTTATGTGAGCTTTTTTCTTAATACTTATAAATTTGTGAATTTCCAATGATTTCAAATTTCAAGACATTCAGTTGATTAATGATTAAAATGTGGTATTTATATCACATGCTTCATCATGTTGTATACAACTTATAAAACTAAGACCGATAATTCTTTTTTCTAAATTACTTTCTTGCAGTTTTAATTGGCTCCTACTTCTTAAAAAGATGTGGAAATTAATATGTTTTTTATTGTAAACATCGTTTGCTACTTTTCATGAAAAAAATTGTTTATCTCAAACATTCTAGAATTTTTTCAATAATTAATATATATTTATATACTTATAATTTTCATATATAACATAATTGTAGAAATTGAATTTTATCAAGTTGTTGAATGTCTAAACAACGTTGTTAATAC